AAAAAAAGAGATACATGTTTCAAATGGTCTTCTGAAACAGCGTTGCAAATCTGTCTTCACCAATGAAGATTGTTGCCAATGGATGTGGACTTGATGTGTAGAACAGTGTGGTCTCGTTAGGGCAAAGGGCGGGAGAAAACTCAAGCGAGGCATACGTATGCTCCGATATCAGCTTTCGGGCAACCACGCAATCTGCAGAGTCAACCACAAAAGCTAAGCATTGAACCGGATCCACTTCTCATAGGCTACAACAGTACTTTTAGCGATTGTGCTTTGCTCTCCCCACCGTTCATGGCCAATCGACAAACTTCTGTCTCAATGCCATGGCGACGGCTGAGGATGTCCTTTGCATCGTATGGCTGGAAGCGGGCCAGCAAAGACAAGTTGATATGACTCGATGCATCCAATGACCAGTGTCGTTGCTTGGTATATCCATGGTTTATAGTCGAACAGACCTGGGAAGGACCTAGGAACAGCAGGTGGCTTACCTAGTTGCCACTTCCGACTGATGGGTACGACGCCTGCAAATGTCCAAGATTTGTCTCACTCTTATCTCCGATCTGTCAAAATTCTTATCCATCTCCCAGCCATATGTTTTACGTTCCCCGTATACCTATTCTTATATAGTTTGTCCTTGTTCATCTAGCACATGCATAGCTGCATTGCTTGATCCCCTCTACAATCCACTTGCAGTGACTTCAAACCCCGTCCCTCTGCACAAAGTGTAACATGACTCTTTCATCGGCCTTGAAGTGGTCTGCGACAGCAGTTGCTCTAGTAGCACAGTTGTGCACTGCGCAAACCTACACTAGCTGTAACCCTCTAAAGAGTATGGCATTGACCGAATCCCTTTTCATTAGCAGGCATTTGCTGCGAGTACTAATGAGAATCCGACAGAGACCTGTCCCGCAGATGCAGGCCTGGCAAACTCCACCTTATATACTGACTTCACCTCGGGTGAGTCAGCTTTCAAGTACTGGAACACCACGGCTGGCACAGTGAGCAGCACATCACTGGGTGCTGAGTTTTCTATCGACGAGCAGGGCGATGCTCCCACCATAGAGAGCGAGTTCTACATATTCTTCGGTTATGTAGAAATGAAGATGAGGGCTGCCAATGGCACCGGCATTGTCAGCACGCTAGTGATCGAATCTGACGATCTTGACGAGATCGACTGGGTATGTCTTTTATCATTGAACCCTGTCAATGAGGGGGCTAACGATATCACCAGGAACAAGTCAGCTCCTATGATAACCAAATCCAAACCAACTACTTTGGCAAGGGCAACACCACTTCGTACGATCGCGCCACTACAGTGACCGTGTCTACGCCCGAAGAGACATTCCACACCTACGCGATCAACTGGACTTCAAGCAAAATCGAATGGCTCGTCGATGGAAGCGTTGTCCGAACCCTTAACTACGCCGATGCGCTGGACGGTGAAAACTTCCCCCAAACCCCTTCCCGGATCAAGATCGGTATCTGGGCCGGCGGTGACCCTGACAACGAGGAGGGTACCATTGAATGGGCCGGTGGGGAGACCGACTATGATAACAGCCCTTTCACCATGTATGTGGAGTCGATCAAGGTTATCAACTACAACCCTGCCAAGTCGTATACCTACACCGATAAGACTGGCTCCTACACCAGTATCAAAGCATCGAATGTGTCAACTGCTTCGAACTCGACAACATCCACGACTTCTCTGTTCCGTACGAACACCATGTCGTCCAGCAATAGCTCGTCCTCATCCTCCAGTGCCAGTGCCGCATCCAGCACTGCCTCCAGTGGTGCTTCCACGCTGTCAAGCTCCTACCTCGGTGCTGTATTTGTGGTTGCGCTCGTCACCGTGGCTACTGGAATGCTCCGTATTTAGGCTATGTATAATAGGAGGCCTTTGTTGTGTTTCCGTCTTATGATTAGGCAGTCAACTTCCTTACTCTCCTTTGTTTATTTTTTCGATCTGTCGCTCCTTAGCCTTGTATCCTCACTGAGAGGAATCCACCTTGTACAATCCAGTCGAATGACAGATATCACTCTGACTCCGACAGAAGTTAGCGACGATACTAGAAAGTAGCATAATTGTTGTTGTAAAAGAAACGTGACTCGCTCAGATCTACCATACGTTGGAACAGCTGATTGCTAGGAAGCATCATATTGGACAAGATAGTTTACGTCAATCACAGGGTGGAAGTTTCACACTGCGACTTGAGGGTTTCCATGGAGGATAGCTTTTATCTGCGAGGGTCCTCGATTCCTCTTATCTCCGACAGAATCCTTGAGGCCATTATGCTATGTTGTAAAATGTGAGATCTACCTCAATCCTATTCTACCTTTCTATCGAGACATCATACAGGCCCATCCTAGATAGAAAGACACCCTGTTAGATAGAGAGACACCACCATATGAAGTTTTATTACTATTTGGCTTGATGTCGGGTAGTATTTCTACTACTAGATCAACTCTGTTATTGAGTGATCATTGAGCTATACCATGGCCCAGTTTCATCCGGTATTCTATTGAGTGGTCAACATCTACCTATTAGCTAAGTGTTTCATTAAATCTTCTTAGTTTATAAATTAACTTCAGCTCGGCGTAAATGTTGTATATAGACGTTCTACCTACAAGAGAAAGGACTCTCGTTCAAGTTGACAGTCCTCGACAATCCTCATCAAAGCAGTAATTACAGATATGAAAAGCGGCTATCCTCCCCGGGGTTTGGGAATGCAGTACCCCTGTCACTCTGGATAGTTATTGCAGACAACAACAACTCTTGTGTTGAGTCAGCGGAGTACCGGGGGTCGGGAACGGAAGAACATAATGATCCGTATCCACCGGATTGCGATCATCGCACCAAGCATCCACGTTCCTTCACTAGCATATCCGCCTCCTATTTCACCGACACAATGTCATCCTCGGCGGAGAACTCTCCTTCCCCGGTCCCGGAGTCCTCCAATGAGCCCACGCCGCAATTAGACATTCCTCCCAATATCTTACGGCTTCGCGCGGAGATCTTCGCACTAGAGTCCCCGATCACGGTTTCCGTGACCGAATTTAATCAAGCGTGGAAATATCTAGACAACATATACGTCCGGAACCAGGCTAGACACGGACAAAAGAAAACAACCACATACTATTGGTGTCGACTATGGCGTACTAAAGCCTACGAGCCGAGCGTGTCGGATGAACAGCGTAAACGGAAGCGGACCGTCCGCGAACCAATTGGCTGTCCATGTCGGATCAGGATTGTTAGTGATGGCTATTACATGACGATCACGCGAGGCAAGGAACCGCACAATCATGATATCTCTGCACTCGACTATAAGCTCACCACCGCTGCTCGCGAGCTTGCGGCACAGGCGGTCGCAAAGGGCAGTAGACCTAGTTTGGTCGCGCGAGAACTGAAGAAGAGCGGCATTGGCGGCCGTATAACTTCCAAGGATGCCTGGAACGCTGGTAATGTCTGGGTTAGCCGGAAAGAAGGACGGCCTGCATGGCAGAAACATTACCCTAAAAATGTAGGTTTCTTCTTCAATAGAATGAAATACCCTTGCTCCGGGCGACATTGCTGTCCGACCGGCGGTTTTTTGCCTCGTTTGTTTTCCCATTCTATTTAATAAATCTTTGGCTTGGTCCTGGCGACTAAATGATTGACCTTACCAGTCCGTTATGGAAGCAATCGTGGCCAATGAGCCCGGGCCTCCCGAGGTGCTACACCTCGAGAGTTATCCCAGGCCTCCTTCAAAAGTCGGGGAAATCCTAATTGAAGTCAAAGCATTTGGTCTTAGTCGGTCTGACATCCTCGCCCGGCAAGGACATTCAGGCGATGCCAGTTTCCCACAAATAATGGGTCGGGAGGCTGTTGGCATCGTGACAGCGGGTGAGGGTGCGCTCGCGCCCGGAACGAGAGTCGTTGCTATGATAAGGGATTTACTTCCAGATTACCCAGGTAGCTATGCACAGTACACTCGTGTCCCAGTCACCCACGTTCGAAGAGTCCACCCACTATGTAAGCTTTCTTGGGAACACCTCGCCGTCTTTTCAGAAATGATCCCGACCGCGTGGAATGCCCTTTTTCGCGCTCTGCGTCTTCATCCGGATGATCGCCTCCTGATACGTGGCGGCACAACAGCCATTGGTCTTGCAGCAGCATGTATCGCGAAGAGGCATTGCTCCTTCATAGCTTCCACCACCCGCCAGGAATCCCGGAAGGAGCTTCTTGGAGGCGCGGGGGCTACTAAGATTTTGATTGATGATGGATTCTTATCACAACAGATCAAGTCAGAGGGACTGGAGTTTACAAAGGTCCTAGATCTCATCGGTACAAAAACTATAGCTGATTCCTTACAATGTGTAAGACCATACGGAATTGTTTGTCTGGCTGGAACGGTAGGCGGCGACTCAACTATGTCGGACTTCAATCCGATGGATGCTGTTCCTTCTACTGTATCCTTTACAACATATAAGAGCACCGCAGAAGACTTCAAGAACTTTCCACTGGACATGCTCTGTCACGAGGTTGAGACTGGCCACTTGACACTGCCGAATATACGAATTTACTTCTCTAACCAGATCGTTGAAGCACATCGAAGCATGGAAGAGAATCGTACGGAAGGTAAAGTCGTGGTGCTTTGGTAAGTAGTCAGGGCCTTAACGCTTCACGCGCGATATGTACAATATTATTTTCCGGACATACTTCCAGCATACCATATAATTTACTTAATTACGGAGTCATACTTCCATTCGAGATTTTCGATCCTGCTTGGTTGTCGACCAAAGCTGTATCCGGGTCACTCCAGTTTCGCTTGCCGCGGAGAGATTTGCGTCAAGTGAAGAAGCCAAAAGTCAGATTGGCCTGCTTAATTGTCATTTATGACTCTTCGATGATACAAAGAAGGCAAGCAAACCCAGATAAAATGCTTCACATTACGTATATAACGCTATTGTTTGTATAATATCAAAAATGCGACAGTTTATTCGACAACCAGAAAGGCAGAACGGATCTGGTCAAGTATCGCCTATAGTTTCCAAGCAAGACAAGTATTCTCGACCAATTTGTCTTATCCTGAAATATAGCACCGCAATCCCCCTTATGTTAGCTGCAGAGCATTGTCAAGCACCTAGTCAACGTCAACCGTAGGAGACACCATGTCTTTACGCATGGAATGGACAACCAGCCGGGATGTCTCTCTTTCTAAAATTCTCAAGGATCGCTTCGACTTCAGCTTGGCCTTTGTTCTCCATGATCTGAGGACCGATTGCTTTAATGTCATAACCTTCGTCGCGGAAAGGACCATTCTTGGTGGGTACATTTCCGGTTCCAAAGAGTCGTACCAACCAGGATTTAAGGCCCCATCGGTTTAGAAATGTCGGCTTCACATACCATGGATTGTCTAACCATTCTTTGACGACGTAGCGCCCGGTGGAAGGATCCGGAGTTGCATCCAGAACCTTGACGGCCATGAAATCCGGCCGGGGGAGGCTGAGATAGAGTAATATGAACTTGCGAATTGCCACTGAACCAGCAACAAGGGAAGAAAGAGTGATTCCCGGTTTACGATAGCTAAGCGTGTGTCAGAAACCAAGAATTCGGGAGGAACTGAGTGCTTTACCCCATGCTGACTCGGATGTGTTCATCTAGTCTTGTGGCAATGATACGTTCAACAACTGGCCGGAGTGTCGAAGGATAATTAGCCGTCTCTAGGCTCATTAAGCGCCTGCTAATGAACAACGTCGACTGTGTTGATTTGGCTGCCGTCTTTTCGTATTCTACCGTGAAGTCGCACAGCTCCTGCGCAAAATGGATTCCGTCTGTGAAGCCGGTTTTACCGGACGGGAGTAGGTGGAATGGAATTTCCATCGCCTCTCCCATACTTCTGTAAAAAACACCAACCGCACACTTCTCGACATCTGACAGCTGACGCCATTCATATTTCTCTATCGAACGGAACACATCAACCACGGCAGAGCCAAGCGTATGCAGCATATCTTCATCAAGGATCTTGCCGGCCTTCCTGTACCTGGAATGTATGTAATTCATCCGGACGAAGGCCATTACATGAGCGTCGGAGCCAGCCTCACGATCATGGATCTCATTCATTATCACCTCCGTATCAGCCGCGCGTTTTGTATTGTTCTTCTCGCTTCGCTGACCGGTAGCAACGAAGAGATCGGCCACGGTAGGAACAGAGGCAGTCTAGGATGAGTTATTCGTTCAGTACCTGGTTTGAGGCTATGACTGTGTACAGCACATACCTTGAGCGTCGTCATCCTCGTCGAGCTACGCAGTGCAAACGGAAACTCAAGCTCTCGCAACTGGCGCATGATATCATGGGCCTCCTTGACAGTCATGCTAGACAGAGGACGGCCGGTCCATCTAAACTTCGATTCAATTCGATCACATCTTTGGAAACGGAAATATTGCACAGCCAGGACATAGGCCCCTATCAGTGAAGCGGCAGCGAGGAGAGCCTCGGATGTGTTTAACATGTACATCTTTAAACCGACAATAACGAACACAGATAAGATGTTAGTCAAAAGCTGCGAAGACACGTCTACAGTCTGAATTCTTATATTGGCTCCTTGCTACCGGGCGCCACCTAACCACATAGCCACTCTGCCAGAGATTGTACGAATACCAAGCGCATCTGTCGCTGGCCTTCCGATACGACATGATGACTTGCAGCAGGCGATAGTCCTTCTTGCCATGCATCTCTTCAGGGGGGCAATAGGGTTGTAAATGACATCACACTTCACGCTTTCCCGAGGCAATGCCCTTGACGGGAAGGAGAACAAAACATGTTATAAGCGTGCCTTCGAGCGCGGTTGATATCATAAGCTAAATTTTCAGTCCGGCAAAGTCTCAGGGATGAGAAAACGCTGGTACATTTAGTTATCATTTAGAAGAGGCGAGCTTCCATACACCGTGGACCTATGCCATGCCCGCACATATGGGTATAGCGCCAAAGACGCTCCGGGGAAAATAAACGCACCACCTCATGAATCCGAAGGGTAAGTGAGAGTAATATAGGCTCCTCTTAGCTGAGGCTGTTCAATTTCCCCTATTGAATGTGCCAACACATCGAAGTAAAATCTTTTCTCTCAAATATATGGTGGGGTAGGGTGCATGACTCGGGAATGACTACTTGTAGTTCTTACAGATCCTTACCTTAGCCATATGACCGACGGCACGAAGGGTCTTCGAGACATATGAAGGGAACATACTCCTAAAGTCGAGGAGGTCATTCTATGTCTGGGCATAAACATAAAGCCCTGACACCTGTCCAACGTTTCCCTCTAGTATTCCCGTTCAAAGCCATGCCGAAGACCACAAGGTACCATGCTTGAAATTACCGGTTATCTAACCTGTCTCGCTATATGATTTCTGAGGCAACACTAATAGATTTTTCATCCCAAAGGGTACCAATACTCCCTATGGATGGTGTATGGCTGTCATCGAAGCGACTTGACCTGAAAAATCCGGGAAAGGTACCAAGTTCCAAGTTTCCGCAACCCACCCAAACCCTAAATATAGAGCCGGACCGACACACAGCGGCCTTCCCCCGAGAGACATGCCGAGCAAAAACGGATTATGTTCTGTGTGCCCCGACGGGCCGGGGAGAACCACAGGGCTCGTCGGACTTTCTGTGGTCGTCTTCGGGGATGGCGTATCTATGATGATCTTGCCTGGGCTGTTAACCTTAGCTACCCGCATCAGCTTTACGAATCTGCCAGTCGAGACTGAAGCAGGGGAAAGACCTGGAAGAAACTAGTGATAATCAAGAAGGGGAGCCATAATGATCATACTATGGCCGTTTGGGCGTCATTTTGAAGGATTATTCCTGTAGACACTCAAGAGGAATGGTTCTTGGCTGTGATTCCTTTGCCGGGGTTTACTGGGAGTATAATTGCAGTCTATACCAGCAGAGGCAGAAGCAGGATACAAAATGCTCTTCGGAAGCTCATGTTATTACTAACCGTATTTTATGTGCTTTCTTGAGTGAATACTCCCTTCCAGCAACTTGGACACTCGATTCATTACACTCATGACAAACACAGCACCTCAGTTCCAGGTTACGAATAAACCCTACAAATGGCTCAGACGCGAAATCGAATCCTTAGATCCCTACAAAGACTACGCCAAGATCTGGAGACTATCCATTGAATACACAAGCGGGGGCGACTTCATACAGAATCTCCTCTACGCATATACATTCGCCACTTTGTTGCCACAGAATGGGTCTCCGATGTGATGTGCCGCAACGGCAGCGGAAGAGTGCTCACTCAAGCGACCGATCGAGTCAGCGAGACGCAATGCCATTTCTCCACCTGGTGGTACTATGGACCGCATCACCCAGAAACAATGAAGTCCATTGACGCCATCAACAAGCGCCACCGAGGCTACGCGAAGAGCTACCCGGGCCACTTCTCACATAAAGACAACTATATATATGTGCTTTGCTTCACGGCTATCTCGGTAGACCGGGTACGAACAAAGCTGCGGCTGTCTGGGTTCACAGAGAAGCAGAAGATAGCAGCCTATATGTTCTGGAAAGAGATGTCTCGTTTATTCTTAGTCGAGATACCTGGACAGGTTTGGCGGCCTCTTTGGGAGTTTCCAGGCTTCCCGGAGGATTGGGATGGGATGTATAGATTCTGTGAGGATGTGGAGGATCATCATATGGTAGCCACCGAGAAGGGCCACATGGTTGTGGAGGCACTCTTCGATCAATTTGCCTTTCGACATTTTCCCTCTCTACTCCGGCCCCTAGGCCGTGCGTTGCCCATTTGTCTCAGCCTTCCTCAGACGCTAGAGGCACACCGGGTCAAAGAGGCGAACCCGGTCTTGACGTGTATGGCGCTCTTCGTGGTTGGGACATTCATATGGATTATGGAAGCACTCCTTCCTGATCCAAAGATTAGTTATCAAGAATCTCTGCGAATGCGCTCAGCAGACCAGAACAGGAAGGCCAAAGAGGAGAATCGAAAGGTGGATGCGGCTCTCCCTGCGTGGTTTGCCCGGCATCATCAGGGACGGGCAGCATCATGTCCATTCGCTTCGCCTGTGAAGTAGGGTATGTAATATTTATGCCCGTGTCACGGACAGACTTGCGTCTGTTGTTGTAGAGTTTGGCAGTGTTTTCTTTTATTGAGTGCCTTTAGCATCATTATATAATAGCCAGACATTGAAACGAATAATAGATGGATGATAAAATCACTAGAATACATACACATTGCTGCTCTGACCTAGAAGGCTGTCAAACTAGACAGTCCACTGGCCATCCCACCATACGCACTATACTAATTCCAGTTCCCCTAACTGACGCTATACCATCTACAGTCTTCTTGAATAAAGTCCTACTGGCGACGTACACCTTATATCTAGTACCAACCCCTCGTAGAATCCCCGGGGAAGGTTGAAAAGACTGAAATAAGTTGCTCTTAACAATCATAATGTGACCCCCCAAGTATGCGATACTCTCCAATAAAATCTGCCTGCCGTTTTATTTGCCAGCCCCCATGAAGAAACGGGTGATCTAGGATAACAAAGACATCAATTGGGTTAGTCGGTCGGTACCTGCCATCCTTGGAGCACATTCTATGGACGACGGAGACGTGATATGAAGCGCCATTCGGAATTACTCGTCGAAGCCTGTCGGGGATAGGTTTCTTTGGAGACGAGTACCGTATTTGGAAGTACAGAAACTCCTTCACCCAATCCTGACTGAGGTCTAGGTTTGGCTTTGGTTCTTGTGAGGAGAATCCAGGACCACTAAAGCGGTTCAATGTGCTGCGCCATAGTCGGTTCCCGAAGAATTGCTCCTTGAGGATAACTGTCCTTGCAGAAAAGGTCTTTATGCTTATGTCGAAGCCAGGGATGTTTTCTAGCACGCTTGTCGTGAGGATTGATCGCGGGCTCGATGGGTAACGGGACATCCAGTGGTCGTGTATATGACTTAGTTTGGCTGCGCGGTATAGCCCGTCCTTCAGTTGGTCGCTAGAGAATATGCTTTCTAGAAGGTCTTCGTCACTCGGGGGAGGTTGGTCCTGTTTTAACTCGCCAAGATCAAAGTAATCCCGTAGCTTATACGGATCGATGCCCAGTCCAGCTCTTGTGGCTTCGCGAATCATCCAGACCAGAGGAATATGGCCTAGTTTCCATTTCTCATTGGGGTCTGAGTCTGTTACTCCGCCAATGTCCTAATGCAAGTCAGAAGCCCATCGGTGCCAAAAGACACAGGAGGATGCGCACCGCGTGTCCACCCAGAAACCAAATCTCTTGGAAGTCATGCATACATTCGGCTGCTTCGTAGCCCAGGTTGGGGCGTAATGAAGGGTCTTGTTCGTCGATGGCCACGGCATGGCGGACGACAAGACCAGGATGTGTAACAACAGATGGTAGGTTTTCCTCTTTCTGACGACCACTAGTCCCCCTTGCCAGGTTACAGCCAGGTGCTCTGTTGACTGAATCAAATAGACCCAAGAAGGTAACTGCGCATTCGTGGGTCCAGCCTCGAATTGAGGTCAATTCAGAAAAGTCACCTCTCGCTGAATCAGGATTCCCGCGCGACACCGCATGATACCAGGCTTTATAAGAACCCCATATGTCATGCTGGATGTGAATGTGCGGTATACGTATTCCTGTGAATTCCAGAATCTGAGCCAGGATCTGTGCTACGAAGCCACCGCTTGCAAAGCCAAATATGTACCATTTGTTCCTGCGGTCATAGTTGTCCACACACCACTGTCGACCAATTCTATCTTCAGCATTTGCGGCAAGCAAGCATCTTCAGAATCAGAGAGGTAGTATACCTTGTGCGCGCGCATTACACGCTTTTCGATGTTATCATCCGTGGTGGGTTGATCGTAGTAGCAAACCTGCACGTTGCCGGCATCGCTAACAAGATCGTGTATGGTCTGAATCGCGGATCCATTACCCTTGGGAAAGCTATTGTAACATCTATCGTCAAAAAATAAAACCATGTTGCGCTGGGGTTTGCTGAGGCCCGCGTCCGGGCCTGTGAATTTTCTTGCAGGCTCTATAACAGCCTCCTCGAAGCCCTGGTAGATCTTCCTTGCATATATCTCCGAAGGCTCAACGAACCGGAGGTGAGCCCATGACAGGTATCTGTGTAGGCCACGATTGATGCGAATGAACTGCGAGTCACTGCCAGCTAATTGACCCAACATTACAGCTACTGGTTTCGCACGGTGATCCGCCGACACCTCCTGGCATTCCAACAGAAGCGCCTTTCTTTGTTTGACGATTTCACGTCCAAAGGTTTTCCCTCCATCACCTTTGATGGTAATCAGCGGTAACTGCAATCGGATTCCCTTGTTAGTCACTGAGTAAGGGGAGCTATTCTTCAGAGATCGAAAGGGGACGATATTCCTGGAGTTCTTGAAAAAGCCCGGTGTGAGCGCTAACAGACCGGTGCTGTTGAAGCCTTGAAGGTCAGAGGCGTCCCAGGCAAAAAGACTCTGATCATCGGACCCCTTCATGATCTCCTCCTGGAGTCTAATAAAAGCCTTCCTGCCTTCTCCATAGAGCAAGGGCATATTCACATTAAAGATACCCATGAGACAATACGCGGTATCTTCCGTTCTGGTTGTTACCCTGGACGAAGCCCACGACATCCTCTTTGCGACGCTACAATCGCCCAGTCGAGTCTTTCCTCGCAGAACGCTCTCGTCTATCAGCGTAATCTTGGATATCAGTTGGCTCCGATCATTCTTATTTCCTATATCAGTCCAGTCCCGCGAGAGGAAAACCAAATTCGGTGGAGCGATCAGTTCCTGCAACGTCCAGCCCCGTTTGAACCATTCACTTCTCTGAAGCTGGGTGTCCACATTCGCTGGGTTCTTGCTCGGATAGACGTCCTGAAGGTACGCATAGCATATCCCGGCCAGATGGTACCACCGGAACATGGAGTTGATGGCTTCGGATAGCTCGGCGCTGCTTTCCTTGTTGATGCAACAAGTGTCGATCCAGGCGTAGTCGTATCCATCTTTCGCTGCTCGCTCGAGGAAGCGCTGGATTTTCTTGTACCCCTTGGTAGCTTTTTTCCCGTCTTCCTCCAGGTGTCCTAGATCCTGGAAACTTGTTTCATCGTCCCCCCATCGGTGCGACAGAATTGCATACTTGACCTCGCCCTTGTTGATCTTGTCCTCTCCAAATTCCTGTAGCTGCAGGGGCATGTAGTTGGTGCGGAGTAAACGCATACTCATGAATCGCGTCCCCAGCGATGGTTTGTCATGTAGAGAGGAGGCAGGATATATACATGATAAGCGAGTGAAACGCGATTATTGACGCTCGTAATTGTCCGACTTGCGGGGTCTCGCGCGTATTTAATTAAGGATGAAGCGCCCCAGCCACTATTCCCTTTCCGACATAGGCTCCAGATATTCGAATTCTGAAGGCATTAAGGAGGAGATGCTATAATGTTCACCTATATACAGATGTTCCCCGCTAGATAAAACCACGCAGTCTAAATATTATATAGCCCTGTAAAACACACAAAATATGACGCCTTAATGCAACTCTAGGTCTATGACTTTTCCGATCCCCCCGCCTCGCTATCCATTGAATCAGCAGCCGATATCTTTCTGTCTTCCCTGTAACTCCGGAACGTATACAACGCACTCAGCGCCATACCAAGACCACCCAGTCCGATAGCCAGATACATACACCCACGGTACCCCTTCAACACGTCGGCGGGTGTCCGACCCCCATTATTAACATGCACCTCAACGGTGCCCGCAAACCCCAGACTAAGCGAGATACTGTAATTCACGACCGTTGTGACAAGCGACGCAGCCACGCCCTGGTGCTCTCTGCGAGACGCGTTGGAGAGCATCAACGTGGCCGCCGGGAAAGACATATCCATTCCCCAGGGGATAACGAGCAGGCAAACAAACGTGAGCGCCCAGTAGGTTTGGTGCACGGGCGCGATGGCCAGGAAAATGTTCCCGACGGTGAAACAGGTCATGGAGGCGAGCATGATCCACCCCGGACGGACGCGGCTCATCAGATACCCCGTGGTGAAACAGGCTAGACACCCCACGATGCCTGGGGGAGTGAACTCGGCTGATCCAAGGAGAGGTGATACGCCGCGGAACTGCGCTTGGAAGCGCCAGAAGTAGTACACCCATATACCGAAGGAGCCCCAGCCGCAGGCGATGCAGCCCAGCACGTATAGGACGTCTGCGGTGAAGGCTCTCATTGGGACAAGGGGGTTCTCGGAGTAGTGGAGCTCGGCGATGAAGAAGGCGGCGAGGAGCAGAATCCCCACGATGAGAAGGACGTACACGTAAGGCGTGCTCCAGCCAACTATGGGCGCTTGGTTCCAGGCAACGTTGATCAAGACCAGTCCGGCGATTCCTAGCGAGGATGCGAACACGTCTAGCGTCTTGAGGAGTTGGAGGAAGGTGTACTGTCTGAAATCTGTATGCTGGACGGGTGCGATGACCATGCTGCCCAGAAGCGCACACACCACGGAGACAATCGCCATGGTCCAGTAGGTCCATGGCCACCATGCTAGCTGGGAGAAGAGCGACGAGAACACGGCACCCAGAATTGCACCGTTGGGGGCAGTGGCGCCGAAGATAGCAAAGATCATGTTCTTCTTCTTTCCGGGGGCGTAGGTTGCCCCGAGCACCGCCAGGCCGTTGGGGAGCAGCATGGCTGGGCCCAGACCCTGCAGGACTCGGGCAAAGATGAATAGCACATGGTTGGAGTACACGCTGAGGCCTGCCACCAGGGACCAGATTGCCAGCCAGATGTAGCCAACCAGGAACATTCGGTGGTAGCCGAAGACATCGCCAAAGCGGCCAAATACCAAGATGAAAGTACCGACGGTCAACGAATAGCCAGCGATAAACCAGGACAAAACACCAGGTTCAGTGATATGGAAGCTGTCTCCGACGATATCCAGTGTCGCCACACATACTCCTATGTTTGCCTGCGTGATGAACTGCGACATACAAACAATGATGATGAACGCGACCTCGCGGATCGGGGAGAAGCCATCCGCGATAGAGTGGGCCGAAGGAACAGGCCTCAGCTCGTCAGTCATGCTGGTGGATATGAGAGGTGTTGTGTCATTAAATCCAATATCAAATCAAGGTAGTAGTATACTAAGCCATTGCGGTTATGGCCTTGGATATCAGCCTGGTCAGTTTTCGTATGTCTCTGGGGTACATGTAGGATTTTCTACGGACGCCGGACTTCCCCCTTCACATTTAGTCATCCCCGAAGGCAAGAAAAAAAAAAGTTGGATGTCGAAGTGGGCCTGGGAACCAGTAGCTCCCCGATACCGCATCCCACAGGATAATTTGGACCCGCGTCGGCTTTTGAGCTGTTCCCAGGACGGCAATCAAGAAGGTGGATCTTCCGTGGGTCGGAAAAGGCTGTCCTTGCCACTGCCGGTTAGCCTCATATCATTGCAGATATATTCAGACTTACCGCCCTTTCAAGTCAGGCTCCAAGAAAATGCAATATATTCGCACCAACACGTCGTTTCCAAGATTATGGTCAATAATTTGGATCTTATGATTAGGGCTTCATGTGACCGTCTCATGCGCCAAACGTGTTTCGGTCGGTTAAAGAGTTCAATATCGAAATCAAGCATAACGGCTGCATATATCACCGCTCATTCCGGCAACCTGCATAGCTAGGAATCAAATGCACTATTTGGAGCCAAAGAAGCAAAAACGGTTGGGAAAGAACCTGGGTATGACGCAGCGATTCAAAGTATGCTACGTTTCTATTCAACCGTTCCCCAGATCCCATTTTCAGCTAGTCTGCACAAATCGCTCGCTCTTCGGACACCGTATAGGGCTGCTTTGGGATTTTTCCTCTTATAGTCTGTAGCAGAGATGGCTTGTTTTTGCAGGACCACGGTTATGTTAGAGAGTAGATGCGATATTCAAATACCTCATAGGGTAGCTCTGCTTTGGGCTTGAATCTGCATTCGCTCTAGCATCGATAATGCGAGAGTGCAGGTTTGAACACTGAGTATGTGGGACTATGAACAAAAAAGCTGTGCGATCGAAGGGTAAATGCACTAGGCATGCGCGACGACGGTTTAAGAATTTGTTGCTTACCCGTGGCCAGTAGAGTCTAGACTCTAGAGTACATGAGTGGGCCTCGAGGGTCGCCGGTAGGATAGAACATGCCCGTTCAACCTGTGGGGCTCAGAAGGGAGGATGTGCAGATTTGTCACAGAAAACCAAAGTAGGCCCTGTTGCTTCTACCCTCGGCTACGTTCATGATATACTTGAGTGCAGAGCGAGGGTGTTTTTACAGGCTACATGTCTTCTCATATCCAACTTAATTTCGAAGGGAGTTCTAGATTAGCCTTTAGGTCGGGTTCATGAATGGAGTGTCTGGAGTACAAAGCCTCGGATAATACATCATACAAAATGATCAGATTATACCGCTCCGATGAAGTAAAAAGGAGCGCTTACTGTTCATGATGAAGAAGTTGCTAGTGACAGGGTTAAGAGGCCCTTCGAGATCCATCAATTCCTAGTGTGTCCTCCATCATTCATGGTACTACTATCATACAATATTGGCATTGACAGGTAGACTCGGCCCAAGTCACATATAGCCGCCTCAGGGCCTTAGGAAGAGAGCATTCATTATAACCCGTCTGTCGATGACCATGATAACTGCTAATCATAGTATCGACATTATTTCTCCATTGATAGTAGAATAAAACTCACTCCCCAAGCACAACCCCCCAATCACCCTCCGCCCAAACAATCTTCAACTTCCAGTGCGTAATCTTCCACAACCCATCCCCCTCATCCCTGACCACATCCATCTCATACAGACTCCCCGCCAAGAAATACTTCGTGCCAGCCTGTATACCCTCCCCGGGCCGATAGTGCTGCGCCAGCGCCGAGGCAGTCAACGATCCCTTCTCCTCGCCCTCTTTGACATTCACCCGCACATTACTCATATAGTGGATCGTATCTAGCTTCGATATATTGTCGTAGCAGTCTTTGTGGATCGACTCGAGGCCTTCGAGCACTCGGCCGTTCAGGTCGAACGTGGCGTCTTTGGTGAAGGCCGAGTCGAAGAGGGCTGCGTCGGCGGTGTCGAAGCCGCCGACGCAGCGGTAGAGGGTGTCGGCTATGGCTTCGCGGGTGGTGAGGGAGGGGAGGCTGGATGGGTAGGACATTTTGAGGGGTGGTCAATCTGGGGGATATGTAGGTGTAGCTTGGGTTTATTCTTTGGGTGCTATATGGGGTGTGTGAGAGTATGAGATGTTCTATAGATTTGGGTAGGGGGTCTATATATCTACAGATGGCATGATGGGTTGTTATCAAGTGGTTTACTACTAGTTCCTCTATTCTAATGGTCCATGTCTGAGGCGGACTTTGAGTGGATATAAATCTGGCTTTGCGTAAGTCCGGTGGGTTAACTCCGTGATATAGAAATGATGATATTGGGTGATGGGCAAGTGCGTAGAGTACCATCTGCATGCTACTATAACACGTGAGATCCTGGACTTCTGGCCGAGACATGCTATCATCAATAAGACACTTCATTACCAGATCACACAGGAAGGATTAAAGTAATGGATCAGAAGCTCTTCAGCGTTAATTGCTGCAAGACTCTGGTTCAATACTGTAGTCTAGGCGGAGATAGTGAGACCAACGGAGATAACTCATAAATCCGCAGAGATCTCTATAAGATCCACCCAGGGAAACATTTCTAAGGGGTGAAGTCCATAACAATGCAAACGTAATAGGGAAAAGAGAGGTTCAAAAAAGCGTAAGTTGAACAGCAAGCTCAGGTCCGCTTTTGCTCAGGGAGTAGTCCCGAAGTATGGGGCAAGATAGAAATGCACATGCTGAGTTCTCTCTGAGCACTAGCCAGTCGGAGCGATCTAGATCAATTCCAAAGCAACTCATTATCACTTACCTAGTACTTATCAGCATTATAACCGTATATACACTACTATAGTAAACTTGAGAGAGCTATTGTTCTGGATGAATGTTAAATCGCTGCAGTGTATGTGAGAAACAGGTTTAGATTGCCTATATCACTATTTCAGGGCGCATCACGTAAAACACACTGGACTGATAAAAGGAAAGGTAAATGACAGTCGGTGGACTCTGTTCAGAATAAATTCATCCGTCTTTCCACGTCTTCTCCCTGCAATGATTCACACTGCCACTCTACTCCTAGGGTACAATTAGCTTGTCTTCATCCATAGTGGCATAAGGGCTTACCTTATCAAATTAACCAGAGTACGAAGCAATCGCATTCGCAGCTGCACCGTTGAAATCATAGCATTTTCCAAGCTCCCAAGAGGATCCGGAATCCACATAGTTACTCTTAAGGGCCGTGGGAAGGCTCCCGCAGTTCCCGGGCGCGAAGAAGTACGCGTACTGACGCTTGCCCCCCCAGGTCGTGATCTTGAAAGACTTGAAACCTTTCGGCCAGGTCGCACAGGTGTTGTCCCAAGTGTTGACGCCTTTTTGAACGGACTTGTCGCAGCCGGTGTCACTGTAGGTGTCAATCACGAAGGCGGAGCCGCTGGCAGTGAGACCAGCCATGATGGCGACGGCGGTAGTCATGAAATGCATCTTGAAAGGAAGAGATTCTTCAAGTCGGAATGATAATATAAGGTAGAAGATGGGCTTGGTTTGCTGGAGGATCTTGAGCTGATGAGTTGTGCAGATGTAGAGCAGCGGAAGAAGGGGTTCATATACTGGAGCTGCCGTGGCATTGATCAATGTTTGCTTTACTCGTGCGCAGCATAGGCAAAAGTGTATAACCCCGTCATCACGTCACTGCAACCTATCAGAGACACACGGAGACACAGGTACAGATGCGAGGCCGCCCAATGCATTCCTAAAGGTAGGAGCGAATATAGCCAATTGTAAGTATAGTAAGACCCACGCAGGCAGTTCCTGGTGTATAATCTGTCGATCTGTTCCTGTAGGAGGCCTCGATGTCCGCAGAACCCTCGTATAACCCAACCCAACAGAGCCCACCCAAAACCTATGTAGATAATCCACATCTTACCTATCTAAATCTATTTCTCCATCAATCCCTATATTTACCCGATTAATTATGAATGGGTAACTGATAGATTACCTATGCAGATTATAGCTGATAGTCAGGAACCTAAACCCATACTAGGTTGGAGAACTGGATTTAGTATCCAACCCATAACGGGTTGGGCTCGGGTTTGAATGGGATCTGCAGAAGTCCGGGGGCCTTGGACGCCTTACCGGTCGATCACTCTCTTGGCTTGGGGCTATGCTGCAAGTGGAGAAGCGCGAACACTTGAAGCGTTGGTCTGAGATGGGCCATGAATCAGGAATATAGTTTAATAGTTTCTCGCTCAATTACTGCTTTCACACTAGGTTTGGGGACCTGATGCAAGGCTTCTCGCTGAGAGGCCCGCCTGATACGAGTTCTACACCTTGGCAGAATGCAATATACGTTGTATCCAACTGCACAGTTAAGCCCTTGTCATAACACAAGGCTAGCTAGCTGACCTCGCATCAGAAGGGCCATCCACTTGCACTGGAAGAGAATTTTTCATTCGGTCCCAAACAACACAGTGAAGAGTACAAGGGCTGTTTGCAAGGGCTGTTTCCACGGTATTATTTTCAGATATTCGTTCACGATGACATTCGAATTGAGTCATTCAAGGTATATATATAGAGATCTTGTAGTAAGTATTAAGTCTGAACAGATAACACGTGCAGCATCTGATAGTGGTTCGGGCAGTGAGCACCGCATCGAGCTTATAGGATAGGTTGATAAGTAAGAACGCTATGTCTTGACTTTAGGAGATAGATCAAATTTATATTATAATAGACATAAGACTCAATTCCAAGTAGTCCTTTGGCACCAATTGTCTCTTTTTTGTGCTTAAAGGTGGATTGCGGTATTGAGCCTGAGGAAGACAAGTCCGAGCACAGTGCCAACGCCAATGAAGGGGGGAATAATCAATAGTATCCAACGCTCACAGACAATTCTAGCCAACCCAGCGCTATATTTTCTTTACTCTGGATCTTCCACTCTAATTCCTGACCAGCAGGTTGTATGTAATTCCCTCAGACTGCACAACCATCCATATTATTCTAATAAACAACCTGTTGAATATGCTCTCTACGAGTATACACTGATAGCCACTAAACAAGCCCGAATTAGGTTACTATGGAGAATACCTGAGGTCTTCAATAATCAATCTTATAGTGAATCTAGCGTATAGGCTCCGAAATGGATCTTATCCCGAAGCCCTAAATGCCCAGCCACGGTTCCAGGGTCGGGCCTTGGGAGTCGGGACAAACCATAGCTATATAGTAGTCACATCTCGTCACCGTCTCCGCTATGCCCAAAATGCCGCTGCGGAGACTAATCCTGATTCGGCGATGCTACCCATAAGGTCCCGAGAATGGTCAATGAATCATCTACTCCCAATCGATCGAAAAGTCGACAAATTGCATCAGGATGAAGACGGGGTGATTATAAATCATGCCGCGGTCAGAGTCCACTCACGATACCGTGTCACCCATTGGCCATAAGACGAGGCGGTCGGTGACAAAAGCTTCAGACTACGGGGTAACTACTAACTAACTAATATGAAGCCAATTTGTAATACATGGAGGGGAATTTCTAAGCATTCAGTGGATTCCTTTAAATATATTAAGCTCTCATCCGCCAGCCTTGTCGGACCACATCATCCATCCACCTGAATTTCCATCTCGCAGCCAAGATGACTACCCAGAAAGCAATTGTCGTGACTTCCCCCAAGCAAGAGAGCCTGGTAACCGATCGACCCATTCCCGCTCTCCGCGATGATTACATCCTCGTCAAGACGGTCGCCGTCGCCCTCAACCCCACCGACTGGAAGCACATTGCATTCCTGGCCCCGCCCGGCGCGCTAATCGGATGCGACTATGCCGGCATTGTGGAAGAGGTTGGAAAAGCCGTTAAAAAGCCCTTCAAGAAGGGTGATCGCGTGTGCGGGTTTGCGCACGGAGGAAACGCCGTCCAGCACGAAGACGGTTCCTTTGCCGAGTACATCGTCGTCAAAGGAGACGTTCAGATGCACATCCCCGATAACCTGAGTTTCCAGGAGGCCGCCACGCTGGGCGTGGGTATCACGACAGTGGGGCAGGGTCTGTACCAGAGTTTGAAGCTTGCGCTTCCGTCTGAGCCGATCCAGGAGCCGGTTCCCATCCTGATCTACGGTGGCTCGACCGCGACGGGTACGCTGGCGATTCAGTTTGCCAAGCTGTCCGGCTATACCGTGTTGACTACTTGTTCGCCGCATAACTTCGATCTGGTTAAACGTCTCGGCGCGGATGCGGTCTTTGATTATAGAGATCCCGGTTCAGCCGCTGAGATCCGCAAATACACCAACAACAAGCTGAAGCTTGTTTTTGATACGATTTCGCTGAAGGAGAGCGCTGAGTACTGCGAGAAAGCTATTTCCACTGATGGTGGCGAGTACGGTGTTCTCCTCTTTGTTGGTATCGATCGTGAGAATATCACTACTCGCCACACACTTGCCTACACTGCTATTGGCGAGCAGTTTGCCTTTGGTGAACAGATCGTGCCTGCCAAGGCGGAGGACAAAGAATTCGCCGAAGAATTCTGGACCATTGCAGAGAAGCTGCTGGCTGATGGCAAGATCAAGGTCCACCAGCCAAAGGTGAACCCTGGTGGTTTGCAGGGTGTCTTGGAGGGGCTGAAGCTCTTGAAGGAGGACAAGGTTAGCGGGGAGAAACTGGTATACAATGTCGCTGAAACGCCTTAGAGCACGACTGGGTTGATATCCGTTATACGTGGTTTCATAGGACGCTTAATGTACATAATCTACCAACAGTGTGGAATACAATAGTTGTACCAATCCATCTCTCCTGCAATCTCTGAATCTTGTTAACCACCCATCATCTGCGCCCAGCGTATCAGTATTTATTTAACTGAGCCGTGCCACGACCATTGAAGCCATTGAGACCAGACTGGTAGAGGCTCTCATCGTCACCAAACTGGGATTCTTCATCTTCTCTCGCTATTTCATAGCTCAGCTATTTCTGTTCCTACCGGAATGATACTACCCCGCCAGGTCTGCGCATTCAAAATCGCCAATTTGACGCGCTGTATGTAGTTACGGTAATGTAGTAGTAATGTTGAGCACACTCAAAACCCAAGCTACGATCCGATGCCCTGAAGGCTAGAGATCATAACCCATCACAATATAGGTAGCCTCTCGCAAATAGACCTCCAAAATCATATACTGTAAGTTCTGTAACTGCAGCACACAAAGGGGGTTAAATTAGACATAGTTACAAAAATGTTTGTTAAAAAAAAAAAAAAAAAAAAAAAAGGATATTTAAAAATACTCCAACCGATTGAGAAAGGTTATACCCATTTTATTCAAAACCAGTAATAAATCGCTCCTGGGAAGTTAGAAATTCGAGGATCATATTAAATGGTGGAAGATTCTCTGAGATAGCTAGAAATGTCTTTCTTACCCTTCTCTAACTCGCTTACACTAAACTCTAAAGCAGTCGGAGCTAACAATCCTGCAATCTGTACAGGGTCAGGGATGATCTCTGAATGATCATGGATGATTTGCCGGTGTGGATCAACCAGTCCAAAGTGTGGTTCTGCAGCTATTGCGCAATCGACGTGGGCGCCGAGGATGTCCCCTGATTGGCCGGCATGGTGGATGAGGAGCTGTCAAGCGATTTAGGGTGGCACTAGAGATGTTGTAGAAGTATAAGAGATCGGAGGCATAGATGTAACTTCTTGTAAGACTCGGAAGGATATATTTCTGAAAGAATGGAGAACGATGGCCTGAGAAAACCGGTTTTCCTCTGGCGGTATGACGCAGCCAATGATACCAGTCAATTGCCTCGGCGATTGAAAGAACTCCGGCGGGAGTCGCCGAGTGGAAAAATGTCACCTTGGGTGGTCCCTCGCCCAGGAATGCTACCACATCCACTCCCCTTACCTCGTCCCTCACCCAAACGAGTCCCGCGCAGAGTGATTGATGGCCCCTTCCCCGGCAGAGAATGGGAGACCGGTCCGTCCATCACCTCCATCGGGATGATGAGCCCGTCACGTCCGTCACCGACAACGAACCCAGACCGCCCTCGCCGACGGCCACCAGTCATTCCCGCGGCGAGGATCGTGTCGAACGAGACGCGTTAGAACTCCACGAAATTGAGACACAGCTGGATCATGAACTCAACTGCTCAACACCTTCGATCTCCTCCGGCGAGTATCGCATTACCACTCGCCGGACGGCATCACGTACCAGTCAACGCACGGAGCGAAGTCGAGCGCCACGCAAGGGGCTCGTAGGGAAGATTGAACGCTTCTGGACACGGAACGTGGTATTGACCGTTCCTCAGAAAAGTAACCGAGATCACTTTGGTAAGTTTATTTGATGACCTTCTTCATTCGATCTCCATTGAGGTTGTGTCATGCTGCTCGGTCTATCTCTTTCTGCCTTAAACTGTTCCTCTGTTTTCCTATATCGAAGAAGAGCACTTTCTAATGATGTTAGCGCTGGAGCGGACATTCCTGGCCTATATCCGGACATCGGTTGTCATCGCAATGCAAGGCGTACTAATCGCCCAGCTCTTTCGCCTTCAACAACAGCCTTCCCCCGAGGATCAATTGACATACTATGAAGTGGCCATCCCCCTTTCAGTAACGTGCCATTGCATTGCCGTCATTGTAGCTGTGTTAGGCGCGTGTCGTTTTTGGAAACAACAAAATGCGGTCGCGTTGGGAACCGTCTATGCCGGCGGTTGGGAATTGAACAGTATCGCACTGCTAATCGCACTGGTAAGTAAATCCTCCTTTAGCCACGAAGTGAGCCAAAAAGAAAAACGACAGTAGCTAATCCGGCGTAGATAATTTTGGCGCTTTTTGTCTTATCGATCGTGATCATGGTTGAACTTGAATAACACGAACCAAAGGCTCGACAAAAGTAATAGACTTGTACAGGACAGCTCTTGGAGGGGTATTATATTTTTGACCATTAACATAGCAATTAGCATTTATGACAAGCAGAGAGGCAAGACCACTCTGCTCCAAATCTAATGAAACCATGCCATGACATCTACAGCTTCCAACCTATGGACTTATCTTTTGTAGGTTTCTGGAGTCATACTTCCGGGAATCTTGTACACTACGGCATTACGAAGAAATGCTAGAGGTATTTCATTGAAAAGTGTATTGCAATCTACTGAAGTCGTACGCCTAATACTAGCTATGATCAAAGAGACACAACATTCATGGCTCATGACAAAAATGCCGCAAAATCGCTCCAAATGCATGCAAATAAACAAAACGATGGTATAACAAAAGAGGAAACCAGCGTCATACAACCACTTTCGCCATCACCAAGCCAAAACCTCTTTCTGGGCTCCACAAGCGAGACCCGAGCAGATCTCCTCATCTTTCGCGCTGACCTTGGCGTCATTGGGCAACTGCTGCCTCGCCGGCCAGATCTCACGGCCCTCCTTCTTCTCTCGGTCAAAGTGCTCCGTGATGACCTCACGACAGGTGCTCTGGAAGAAGAGGGGAGCCTTCTCGTACTTCGGGTGCAGCTCGCCATTGACAAAGACACCCCGGTTGAGATTCTTCTGTGCGTTGTTGCACAGAACCTTGTCTTCTCCCATGACGCGCGCATACATGTCATTGATCAACCGGAAGTCCTCTTCCTTCGCATCCTTATGTCTCCAGATTTCATAGGCCATGGTCGAATGATTGGGACCCTTCGGGAGGAACTTCTGGACCATCATCCAATGTTTGCTGCAGACATGGGTCAGAGACGTGGTCAAGTTTCAGGTGGTAGATCACCGAGGGGAGTCAAACTTACGTGACAGTCATGGATGAGTTGGGGAAGTAATAGGTACTCGCCGTGTTCAGACCTTTCGCAATCTGCTCTGGGGTCGATTTGCAATGGTGCTGAATATGTCCGTCTTTGACATCGCTGTCAAACGAATCCAGGTTGAGGAATGCCGGAATGTCGGCGTGAGTGGTGGGGCAGTGATAACATTCGTTGAAGTTATCCGCCAGAATCTTCCAGTTGTAGTCGCCCTCCATCTGATAATTATGGTCGAATTCGTATTCATCGAAGTTGATGCCGTTCTCCTGGTACCGCGCCTGCTTGTCGACGTCTTCAAAGTGCTCCTCCCAGGGAACTTCTGGCACTTCCTTCGCGTCCATGTTCACCCAGATAAAGCCGTTGACATCGACCTTGACGTGAATCCGGAAGAGACCGTTCTTTTCCTTGTCAAATCCATCCAGCTCTTGGTAGCCGGGCGCCTTGGCCAGCTTCCCGTTCAATCCGTAAGACCAGCCGTGGTATCGGCATGCGATGATTTTCTTGTTTCCGCAACCCTCCTCCTCGATGACGGGGTACGCGCGGTGTCGACAGACGTTGTGGAATGCATTGATGTTGCCTTGTCGGTCACGGTTGATAACGAAGTCGAATCCAGCGATCTCGTAGCGGAGCCAGTCACCCGCCTCCTTGAGACGCGAGCTGTGGGTGATGAATAACCATCTCCTAGAGAAGATCGCACGGCGCTCGAGCTCGTACATCTCCGACGCGGTGTACCATGATGCCGGCAGAGCCCGGACCGGCGTTGGCTTAACCTCCGCACCTTTAGTAGTGGAGGCCTTGCTACCAAAGTTGAAGTAGTGAAGCATAGAAGCCATGGCGAATTGTGAAGAGACAAGGTCACGGGAATGTGTCCAAGAGTTGCTTCTGTTTGTGATCTTGGTAGACAGGTGCCAGCAGTGGTGACGAGAGACTCCTTTTTATGTCCCTCCTAAGACGCCTGCTGATATCAACTGATCGTAATCCATCCTTATCAAGGTCCACCATTGCCACTATTGAACATGACACATAGCTAAACTGGATTTGGAATGCGAAATGAGAACATTGATAGGACATTTGTGAATGTACACCTTGGTTATGGACTCAATAACCCCATGGGGTAAGCAGCCCAGCTAGAATGGGCATGTTTTAACCAAAATCAATCGTAGCGATCCATATTTAGGCCTGGCGGTACTGGGGCCGAGATGACCTTGATAATCGGACCCGTTCCCGCGGAACGCCCGATCAAGGGTTGGAGGCGTCGGCTTTCCCGACGAGCTTTTATCACCCACATATCCAACTTTACCTTGCCATTTCGAGGCTATCTGGCGCGTTTCTCTCCACAGCTTTCTTTCCTCTTATCTTCAGATATCCACTTGAATTTACTCCTTCGGCTGACAGCGCGGATCATACACTCATTGCTTTGATATGGAATTCTACGCACTATCATTCCCCACGGGGCCACAGCCCGGTTCCCAACGGCAGAGTTGAAGACACAAGACATGTCATGATGATTCAAATAACAGACATATCTGGTACCCAACCACACTACTACGCGACAAGCTATACAACACCTGATCTTGCCATCCAGCGATCGAACAGGGAAACGATAATTCTCGCCACTGCATCGACCCGTCGAAGGTCATGTGAGGCGTTACTGGAAACTTTTTCCCAAAATGAACAGGTCCCAAACACAGCTATTGACAGCAAAAATTAGCTACTGGGCGGTCCGGTGACATCGAGACAATGCAATCCAAACAGCAGCAAGCATAGCTATTAGTCGGGATCTAACCCGACGCCAAAACCCCTCCTCGTCGGTTGGCCCGTGCAGATATAGAGGATCCACCTTCTGTATCGCCGATATAGTGGGTCCGTTCCAGCACAGTGCCTGGATCTCTGCCACTACATAGATAAGATACTCCTAGTGCTGCAAGGAAGATGCACCGATTAAACTGGTTTGGGCATGCGGAATGAGAACATACTTTTACCCCTCAATAACTATAACTTAAACCAGGAAAATGCGTGCACTAGTATATGGAATGTGTGTGCGTTAGGCCGTCATTATGACAGGAACGTCCCCACATACCAATGCCCAAGAACTGCAGCCCCGCGCCAATGCCGAACAGGTGTGCAGATGATTAATGGCCGGGCTGAAGGCGATTTGCCCAGGTTCAAGCCGAGATCGAATGTCTCGGCTGACCCGAAGAGATAGCCAAATCACTCCGAGACGCTGTCCAATGAGCTAGAAAGAGTAATACATGCGATGTCCAGGGATTCTCTGTAGGATTAATTATCACGCTGGTACCGGAGGATAAGTATAATCAATATTTGTTATTGGTACAAGGTCTAGTCCTGGTGGGAATCGTTTGTGAAGTTGAATCTCGGAGTTATACATGCATAAGATCATCAAGCATCGCATTGATTCCGGTCCTCGTAGATCCGGTCTGCTGTCATTCCCAAAAGGGAGCCTAGAAGGGTGATCAATAGGATATGCTACCTAGACAAGACCTTTGTCTTTCGGATTTCGCTATGTTCTTTGGTGGCCAAATCTCTTGGCGGCCGAGAAATGGTCCTTTCCACTATTGTTCATCCTATGCCTACAAATGTTCTGCTGGATGAGAGACAAACATGTATACTTCGATGTGGTTTTGGTTCTATTGATATCAGAGGATAGTGCGCTACCAGTGGAGTCAGGCTTTCTCGTGTGTTATGTCTCGAAGCAGCTTGGGGCTCAAAGCACACGCAATTTGTTCTGTTCCGATTCAATATATTCTTTCGTGGAATCGATAACACCTCTGATCCTCTCCATACTAAGTATCCTGCGATTTTTGGCTACCAGCAACCTGGGAGCATACCGCTGAATACTCGCGATATATTAGAAGTACGCTTACAAAACTGCCCGCTTAGTAAGGAAAGAAACGCGTAGACCATGTTCATGTATATGAGGCTATTCTTTTACCTGTCTAGGTAGGCGGTGGCAGAGCCATGGTGTAATAGCCTCGATGGTAGCGGGCTCCCTTCGCTTTTCCCGTCATCGCGTCACTCTACCATTATTATCCACGCGTACACCGAAATCCCTCCTGCTAATCTGGGATAAAGACTATGTCTGCGGTCTTTGAGTTTCAATGATTTTCGAAACACCAATATCAGGGACGATATTTCCATGTACCAGAGTGCATGGCTCAGTTTATCCTTTTCCTGCGCCATCTCTGCAGCTGCTGCAGCGCTATCTGGACACACATTGGATTGTCGAATGAACCTAGATCCACCCATTGTCCTGTAAAGAACATAAACTAAGTTCAAATCGATATCAGGTCATTCAGCGGTGGCTGGATCCAGCCTCTCGCAGATATACAGAGTAAACTATGATTCCCGATCCGGTAACCCGATATCCGTGCGAGGTGACTGCCCCCATAATATCTAATCTTGGATCTGGTCTACCGTGGAACGAAGGGCGATGTCCCCACTCACCAGTCAAATTCATTGCCATGTCTCGATGAAAGCTACAAGTTCAGGGGTACATCGAACCAGCGATGATGCTATCTGCTACAGCACATGCAAGATAATGAAGTAACCAGAATTGAAATCAAAAGCTGCAAATAGATGCAGATTATATCTTCATAAGTAGAGTAACATCTATGTCTAAGAACATATCAGGATCCAGCACAAGACCGTGCCAATTAAAACCTCTCTCTAGCTAACCAAAATACAAAACATCGAATGGTATCTGAAATTTTCCGCCCAAACTGTACATGTGGGCGTCAATCGTCCATCTGCCCGAGAAACTTCGTTTCATAAGCCGTTGATGATTGCGTCAACTGGGCATCGTTAGTTAGGGTCTTGTGATCGGTAGAGGGGACGGGAGGCTTACATTTACAGTTTGGTGCCAACGATAGCAACGATGGTACCGACGGGGACACCAACGCCAGGGAGGCCGAGGCCGGTGAGGAGACCGGCGACGGAGGGCGAGAGAGAGATGAGGAGAGCACCGGTGTCCGCGCCGACGACGGTAACAAGGCCCTCGACCTGGGGACCGAGATCCTTGATGAGCTCGCCGAGGCCAGAAGCAGAGGCAACGATGCTACCGAGGGGGGCACCAAGGCCGGGGAGACCAAGACCGGTGAGGAGAGCGGTGACCTCAGGGGAGAGCTCGATGAGGAGGGTACCGACGTTGGGGCCGGTCACGGTGAGGATGTTGTTCAGCTGAGGAGCAAGGTCTTGGACGAGCTTGCCATTGCTGCCACCAACGCTGGGGACACTAGAGGGAACGGCTCCAGTCGAAGGAGTGGGAACTCCCGAGGGGATGACGCCAGAAGCGCTGCTGGCGGCTCCGGTCAAACCGCCGAGGAGGTTACCCAGGGGCAAGCTGCTGCTGCTACCAAGGCTGCTGGGAGAGCCACCGACGAGGCCGAGGAGGCCACCGAGGTCGGAGACAACGGGCAACTTGCCGAGCAGGCCACCGAGCAAGCCATCAATGAGTCCACGGTTGTCGAGGACGGGGGCACCAACGGCGGTGGAAGCCAGAGCAGCGAGGACGTAAGCGATCTTCATTTTGAAAGGTATGGAAGGAAACAAATGAGAGACTTGAAAGATTGAGAACTGAAGAGGAATGAATGACTGAGTGAGTGAGTGATTGATGCTGAGGAAAAAGCTGTAGTTGGGAGGGTTAGGAACAGGTTTATATACAGCTCGATAGGGTGATCGTCCTATGCCAAATCCCTCCATGGAACTCCTGAAGTCTTCTGAACATAGGGAGGTGGGGACGTTCCACAGATCCAGAACCGAGATGGAATCGGAATTATGGTAATACTCTCGTGTTTAGTGGAGATAGTGCCCCTGCTATTGATGACATGAATCGCGTTATAGGATGATTGACAGACGATCTTACTTCAGAGTACAGCCAGCCTTCTGTAGTTTTGCGTCCTGTGCGTAAGTGTATTGTTTATTGTTCTTAGTTTACTCCCGTCGCCAGTACTTCGTGCAGGTATGCGGGTTGCCTGTTGCAATTTGATATATCAACAGACTCGGCCAATGATCATGTACTTTTGCATTACGATATGTCTGTTTCAACAGATACTCCATCATGATATCACTATCTATCCCTGGACATGTGGCCATGAGAAATCAGTATGCCGTACAGCGCCTTTAGTTTCGGACATTCAGCTCTCTTCTCGAGGAACTTCGCACTCCACAGTGAGGGGCCCTGTACTAATGAATCGTCGAACTTGCCTATTCCAGCTCTTCAGCTGTTCCACCGTATCTACTTTGCATACAAGGTACCCGGGCTAGTCTATAGAACGAAATCATTCTTACACACCATACGATCCTAAATGCTACTCTCGGCAGATCTCGGTGCTCTAGCTTGACCCTCTCTCATCTTGACCAGAGCTGGGAGCAGACCCAATCAGCTGGAACTGGTTCCAGATGAATGGTTCCGAAAGGCGTACCATACTACGAGCTCTACCTCCGCTATGGCTTTTGGACAGTGGTTCGATTTGCGTGATTGATTGGCTAGTGCCGCTCTGCGGATCGTAAATAATCTTAACCCATAGGCCCTGCCCCTGGCGAGAGGCTTAAAGGGTTCAGAAGACCGGGTCCCTGTCGATCGTTATATTAACACACATCAAAGATGCGTGGTCGATGCACAGGGTAAGTCTCCGCAGTGGCACTTGCAATGTCCAAGTATGGTTCCGCTAATGATTATACATCGATTCAGCACCCCAGCCTTTTGCTAGTTTGTTGTGCAGATCAGTTGCTTATTCAGACGATGTGTTGAGCCACGCCCAAACCTAGAATTACGGGGCAGTCGGGAAACCTCCGCGGCGCCAATCGTTATCTTTCTGGATAGAGAGCGGACATGTAATCTCACGGAGAACCCTCTCGCAAATCCTAATCCCAACTCAAATCGCGCGATTTTCCCTGCGTCGGGAGTTAAGGTTTTTCTTCTCGTTTTCTCTAGCCGAACGAAAACTGGCCAACTATCGAACACTAGAGATTGAGTGCAGATCATCTTCCCCCCTTAGTCAGAGAGAAGATTCGGTAGTTCGATGGAAAAGTCAGACTAGAGAAGTGCCGGTCAATCCTCTTCAAGGCAATCGGTCTTTCGGTACTAGTCGTAGCAAGAAACGCTTGGCGGTGTTTTTGATCCCAATCCCAAGTTGCGCACCTCAAGACAACAACCAGCCATCCGTCTACAAGGAAGCCGTGTTTACGCATGTTCCAGCATTGCTTCGAAAGCTTGTCCCGCTGCATCCCTAAAGTAGACTCCAAAATATGATGCAAGGGGAATAGCAAGCGATTGTTTATTTATAGAGTTCACGCCACTCTCATGGACTTTTAAGTTGCCCGGAGATGGAATCCGTGGGACAATCATCACCGGACTACCTCGTAGTTGAACCTAGACGATCGGGTACAGCTCCGAATGATCTGGCTCAAGTCAGACCTTGGGCTTGGACCGTTCAGCTCGCTAGTTATTCCTTTTGCCCGACCTCATCAAGATGGGTAGGGAAGGGGGTAACTCAATCGACAGGTCACAGGTCCCCGGGGGGGGGCGTTGGATAGATCCTTGCATTTTGCCTGCATGGTCTACGTTTCAAAGTCAAACAATAACTCAAATAGAAATTTGTTTACTCGATATGTCCGATTTTACGCCGTCGCTATTACAAATGGTGGTACTTTTCTTGAACCGGAAAATTGTTCCTTGGGCAGCATGCGCCACATGTACTCGTTGAAATACATATGTAATCTTACCGTATTAAACGTCAGGACACCAGTGTTGAGAAGAGCCCTGTGGTTGGTCTTGTATCCTCGATACGCGCGGGTGGCTTGACGTGTGGCGCTCTTGGCATCTGGGGATGTTCCATTTTGGTCCAAATGGCACTCTTTGATGGTATTCAGAGATGCAGTGTTTGAATTATGTGCTGTGTCTAGTAAATAAAGCATTGTAATTGTTAACTATAGGAAGTTACGGAGCTAGCTGCATGGTCAATTGCATTTTGAGGCGTTTTGGCAGTTGTGATATGTATTGTTTATATTCTTGTGGGCGATATACTGACTCGTATGTCAATATATATATATTCAACAGTACTATTCTAAACAGTCGTCGATGCAACCACATCTGATGCCAATTATTCTGTTTAAACATGTAAGTAGCCACAGTTCAATGAAACAACCTTGTTGAGAAATATATATATATATTCTTTCTCCCTAAATATTACACTGACTTGGATTAATTCTCCAGATATATCTAGCTAGTAAGTTGGCTTCATTAATCTCTCTCTACGTCTATAATGCTAGCTAGTACACAAACAAATGCGTCTCTAGATGCGAGCATAGCTGACTACCACATGTATCATTACAACGGCAGACCTCCAATGATCGGGACTGGCGACATGGCCGGCTGGCCGTCCTTGTACAAACAAAGCATGATAGGATTCAACCACACCGGCGTCGCCCACAGGAGGAACAGTCCCACCCACACATATCCTAGCACACGCCTAACCAGAGGGTTCAACCTCTCAATCCTCGCACCAAACAGGGAATATACAACACTCTCCCACATAACGCCAAGCGCCTGGAGACAGAAGAACCACACCGCCCCGGTTTTATCCCGGGGGACGCCGAACGCGAGATCCATTCCCATGTGGACGAATCCGGACACGGTGAAAGCAAACAGCACACGGGGGTAGCAGGCCCACCGCGACTTAGCGGGGATGCGTAGCACCGAGAAGGAGATGAAGTCCGCGTTGGAGACGAGAAGTGTGCGGAAGACTTGGTGCCATGCCGTCCTGGGGGGGAAGCTTGTTAGTTGAGAGTTTTCACTGCTTGCGAAGGCTGGCTGAACTTACCCCCATAGTCGTGTTAAAGACCACGCTTCCGTCAGCGAATTGGCCACGGGTGGCCAGTCGACGGGGTCGTGGATTCCTAGCGCTACTAACACTACGCCGGCCAGGCTGTACATTCCTACGATGGACGACCTGCACACGATCCCGAACGAGATGGTGGTCATCGCCTGCGCGAGCATTGTTCGTGCCGACGTGCCGTGCACCCACGGGGCCAGAACCAGCTTGCTATCCGATAGTTCCGCGATAGCACCCGCCATACGAGGGTCTTTCGGGTCCATAGTGCAGAGGTGGACCAGTAGGAACGCGATGCAGATTTTCACACTGCCCTGCAGCACAAACTTTAGACGGGACGGGACATACTGTGGATTGGCCCTGTCGAACACGGGGAGTCGCGAAATCTGCCACGGCGTGTTGATGCGGCGGTAGTTGAACGCTATGTTTTGCGACCAGAGAAGTCGTCGGAAAAGACTTGACTTGAGAGAGTCCGAATTCGCTTTCTTGGCAGCTGTGCCGCTAGATCTTTTGGCCTCCCACTCTACCTGCGCCTCATAGGACACCCGACTCAACACCAGCATATCAATCGCGTTCAACACATTCACCCAACACATCGCCGCCAGTGGCCCTCCGGCCCTAGTATCGGCAAATGATTCCGCGACGCGAGACTGGAACGAGTATGCTAGGGCTATTACGATCGCCGCGGCCGGGGACCGCACGACAGACTGGGAAGTTGTAAGAGCCACGGTCAACCCGGTCACCAGCTGGACGAGGCCCCATTGCGCCAGTGGGACACGCCAGGACTCAAAGGAGGCAGGGTCCATGGTTGGGGAAAGTGAAAAAAGGGTTTGGAAGGGGTACGGAAATCGAGCTGATTTAGGCTGGGAGACTAATTTTTTCAGTTGGCATTAGGGTCTACGATTTGGTTGGGGATCGGCGTCTATTTGCGGGAGAATAAAAAAACAATGACATCGCGACTTTTGACGGCCTTGATTGGTGGTATTGACGATACGAGTCAGATTGCTAGTGCTCGGGCCTTGAATAGCCCCAGTTACTAGTGCTCTTGGACCTGCCTGGTTGGCTGAAATGAGATCGTGCAGATCTCCTTACTGTTTCTGGTATGTGGGCCATCTGGATAGCCTCCGCAATGCTTTGTCAGGTTCTCCTGAACCACCGGAGTCCGGAGTCGAGTTTTCAGGCCCCAGGCAGATCTGGCCAAGAAACTACGGCTACTCCGTATGGACTTAAGGGAGAAATGCTTATCCATGGCTAGATTTATAGTCTGATCACTAATAACGGAACCGGCAAACAGCTAATCATAGTATACTTCCTAGCTGATGTGTCTAGGAATCTTACTATCCAACAAGTCAAATAACCGACGAGTTCAATAGTACTAAACACAAGAAGTTCAAAAAATAATCCCCGCCTCTCGAAATCTCTCGAATGCTTCCAACCAACCTTCAACCGGATCCCGCTGCTCAGTAAATCCCACCGACCTCAACCTCGTGGGACTGAACTGTCGGTCAAAAGTAAGCCACCACCCAACCGAATCCAATTGCTGATTCCCAATGCCAACACCGCAGGTCAGTCCCTTTGGAATCCCATTCTGAGCAAACAGATGGCGGTGTTTGTCAATATATTCACTTGGCTTCAGAGCGTCATCTTCCGCGGGTCCCACCCCTTTGAGCCCGAACCAGGCCGCGATGCTCGGCCATAGGTCGCTCGCGCTGACGGGTATGTCGTTATCCATCAAATTGATAATCTTCCCACCGCACGACTCTGGATTGAGCGCTGCATGGATGGTAATGCGACCGAGGATGTCACCCGACACAGGCGTATACAGCGACCGATAACCAGCTTCGCTGCCGGGGAACGGAACCTCAATCGGTTTGTCGGCGGAGCCTCTGTGATTATATGCATATAAAGAAAGGTACTGCGCCCAGTGCAGGGCAAGAGAGTACGCCGAACCGTTTGGAGAAAATCCAACCACCGCATCGGGACAGACCTCACTCCAGGTCCAATTGCGATCTTTGCTGGCTTCCGTTAAGATCTGTCGGAACCATGGATATGCGACTGTTTTCGCGTAGTCTTCTGGTAAGCCGTCCGCCATGGATTCTTCGAGTGGTGGCTGGAAGACACCACCAGGATTGTAAATCCCGTAGCCCTACTAATGTTACTCGCCGCCACTATGTAACTAACCAAATGGCTGGCTTACTCTTGATCCGCCGGGATACACAAACGATCGCAGCCGTGGGGCGACGACGTTCAACGCGTCGGCCAGTCGCTGCATGATCCCGCAGTTCTGGTTGCACTCTTGGATATGGTCATCATCGAACGGCGCGAAGACTGATCGATATTAGTATCTATATCTTCATGTAGACCCTGCTTTCCGAGCGATACCGACCGAAATAAAAGACGTGGGTTATCCCTTCCGCGTCAGGGACTTTTTCTTTCAGTTGCTTCGCAAGATCATCGCCGGTTGCCTGTAGCAGATCGATACCCGAAACGAGCCCAAATGAAGGTCGGTTCGGTCCAGAAGGCAAGCAGAGATCAGCCTCCGAGACGGCCCGATTGAGGACCGCGGTGACCCGAGAAAAGGGGCTGGACGACGGGTAGCCCGAGAGCAGCTGGTTCAAGGTCGCCCATCCGAGCAGTCCAGCTGCCCCGAAGACGATGGCATGCGATTCTGTCGCCATTAATGTAGATGCAAGTATTGTCAAACTTCCCCGCTCTCACCGAGAGATTTAAAGTCGCGGTAATTCCAGGCGGCGTCCGTTTTGGGGTGAGTGTGGGCTGCGCAGTTGGATGAGTCGAAATGACTCATAATAAGTACATTGAAAGTAACATATTAGAGCTGCACAATGTGAATTGACTAGGCAGAGGGGACTTCTCTAGCTCGCAGCATGGCTTGCGAAGATGCAGAACAAGGTGGAAGATGCGCGTTTATTCATTGCGGAGTAGGCTTTGCATACAATACGCTGACATGTTCACGATATGTTCATTGCTGAGAGAAGTGCTCAAGAGAGAATCTGACGGTGGCTCCCGAACGCACTAAGGCTGTTTCCAGGATATCTATTAAAAATAGGCAATGTAGGAAAAATGCCGTGTGTTCTTCAAACCTACGTCTTCCACAGTCGACAGTATACTACAGCTCATGAGCTATTGCACTGGATGATGCCAATCTATGGTCGCTTGTACCGAGAACGATAGTGTACCTAGATTGGATGAACTGACACAGGAGGCCAATTAAAAGCGAAATGACGTTATACCTAACCTTCAGAGCAAGAGTCGATGTCATATATACCTCTGTATAGATTAAGTACATCTTGGTTGGATATGCTAGAGATCTATGATCCGTCATTGTGGTCGCAAACGGTAATTTCATATCAGTAGGCCGTTAAGCTTTCTTATCAGAGTCTTCTACCGTAGTACAAATCTACAGATCCAATGTCTTGACTCTCCATCTTGCTTTACCTTCGAAGCGGATGATAGGGCTCTCCAGATACACATCGTGGAGCAAGCAGGAAAGGGAAGGACCGAGATAGCAGCGGCCTTTAGCCATTCACAGACAGTTATCTCATTTGGAACATGCTTTTATTGATATCGCAAAAGGCCAAGGAATGACTGCCACTTGGTATGTGATCCACGGTTCCCCTCGAGCATGAGGTCAGATATGACCTCACCAACTGCGGCGCGCGAATTAGAACCATCGACAATGCTAAACCAACAAAGCTAAGGCTTATCGAGAAAGCTATTTTCTTAATCAGAATCTAGATTGATCGACCGCCCATGACGAAAGATATAAAGTCTGAAGTCCGCTGAGTGGCTCCAGTTACGAGTCATACATCGCAACAACATACTGCAATTGCGTCCAAAAGAAATATCAGAACCGAAGGCAGGATGGTCAAAGATCTTGTAAGGTGCAATTGTTGGTCGATGCTATCCCCGTTATTAATCAGTTCTCAGACATTCGACGTCCGTTACGACAACGAGCTAGCCCACGACTACTATGGAGATGGAAAAAAGCTAGCTGATTAGTACGGATGCCACAGGCTCTCTCCCGTCAACACAGGCTAACATCCATGAGCAGTATGCGAAGGATTTATCACGATAAGGACCTTCACTTCCCCGATGAATTCGATTCCACTTTAACTACCCCTCCGATTCATTTCATGTCGTATGTGCCTCGTGATCCAGACTAGGCTCAGAACTAACTGGAGTAGGGTGGAGGCATCGGACGAAGCCGATCTTGACGATCTGAGGAACGTAAATGTTCCTCCGGGCTTGAACATTGAAATCATGGACCTCGATATGTAAATTTTGGACTTCTGCACATGGTCTGGTCTTTGGGGCGTTGGTTTGGCGTATGGTTTGGTTATCAGGCACTATATAAGTTTGCATTTTCTACGTGCTACAGAGACCCGTAGAAATGAATCAGAAGCATCTCGATACATATGCGATAATAATGCAGTATATGTCATGTCGATTGCGCACTTGGGCATTTCCAAGCAAAAAAGAAAGGGCCCTTAGATCAGTACGACTAAATATTCTGAGGGTGGACTAATATCCTGAAGTGGGCCCAATCTCTGTCTATTCCTGCTTTGTTCGCATGGCCGACTCTTCATGGCCCAAGCAATGTAGTCCTCAATCAGTTCAGAAGTGCCTTCAGACTTCAAATCAGTCCCTCAGCGGCTGTCCATTGGTGAATCCCTCTGGTAAAGGGATACTACTATATCTGTGTAAAGTAAGCGACATCATGCATCCCTTGCGATAAGGACAGGATATCCATGTCTGAAGCTGCTTGACGGGATTTGTTGCAAGTCACTACGTGTGCTACTTCGGTATAACCGAGTATAGAGTAGTTATAGAGCCTTACTGATTAGTAGCCTTGGCGGTGACGTGGCTGTATGCACAGGAAAAAGACCTCAACAACGGTCGCATTGGTCCGTTTACTCTCTCAAACCACTTCTCATCTTCTGGGTAGCTCCAACGTCTTCTCTTGCGAAGCTAGGCCAGTAAGTCGCTGGCTTCGCGAGCTCATCCTCGCCGCCTCTCCTGAAACTGGGTCAGTCGCTCACTGGCACAGGTAGCACATATACTATCACCAGACAGCTTGGAGAATTCGTCTAGTTAGCAAGGCATTTATACGGTCCACATCTTTCTACTCCATACTGCATATCCAGTGATGAAGGTTTCTTTTGCCAAGATATACTGTTGATAGGAATGGGGCAGGGCAGATTGTAATCATCAAAGCCGCACGTCACTTCCGCATCGCCAACGAGCGGGATGTCCTCAGGAAATATCAGAACAGAACACCACATCTCCGTCCCTTGATCGACGAGATAACCGGGCCTCGAACACCGCCCGCCATCGTACTGAAGCATCTTGAGAGTGATCTGCGCACCGCTGCAGGAACCAAGAAGCTTAGCGGTAGAGAGATCAAACATGTCTCGAAGAGGGTTCTGGAGGCATTGAGTGTATTACATGAAGATGGCTATCTACACACAGGTCGGCACCGAGCCCTTCGTAACTCTTGTTGAGCATCAGTTTCTAACAAAATTACAATGGCAGACCTTAAAATGGATAACGTCCTGGTGAACTCCACGCCACCTTCCCAGAGTACGAGTACACAACGCTTTACCGACGGCCAGCTCGCAGATCTGGAGAGTACCGTCCATGTCACCTCTGGGTTCTGCAAGGATCGCGATGAAATCGGTACGCCCATCTGGCGGAGCCCGGAGGCGCAGTTGGGTCTGCAATGGGGCCCCGCCAACTGATATCTGGTCGTTTGGCAAAATGGTAATTATTCCTTATGCTAGCTTGCCAAAAACTTTATTTTCGGTGAATCCTAATAACCATGGTTTTGTGAAGGTAATATCCATGATCTGGGGTGACGACTTTTGTATATTCAAACCAAATGTCCCCCGTGGCCACGATGAATACGAAATCAAGATCCTTGCCAAATACCATATCTATTTTGGTCCATTTCCACCGTCATATGGTGAACCTGCTGACGAGGAGACCTTGGCGATCCTATCACTGATTATGAAAGATGTGCCGCCTGAGAAATTGAGACCTTTCTCGCTGGCGAGTCAGAAGGAGATTTCACAACAAGACAAGGAGTTTCTCTTAAAAATCATGAAACTGGATCCAAGAGATAGGCCGACCTAATTGAAGACGAATGGTTTAATCAATAAAGTTAAAAATTATATCTTAGGTTCCGTATATTCCCACGGTACTATGAGCTGTACCATAACGGTCTCCGATTATCCCGCTCCACGTCATGTCACGGGGAAGGATACAAGTAGCCAAAGACTAGGGCATCGGTTCAAGTAGGTATCACAATAAAAGTGCTTGGGAGCATGCCTTAACCGCTAAGATCGGTCTTGGTGCTGAAACGGTGGCGGGTCTGAAGATATTTCGCGAAGATAGCAGAGCCAAAAGCTCTTCTCTTGACCACCACCAGATGAGACTCTGCTCTCGACCTATGTAAGCTTTTTAAACCACCCTCACTAGCCAGTTTAGGTACTACTGTTTTACTCTTCCTCCTCTAGGCCAAGCTTCCCGCAGCGTAGCATCGATCCACGCGGGGAGGCGATTAAGCCGAGTGGTGAGGTCATCGTATACGTAAACTTGAAGATCTCGAACACCCCAAAAGACCGGGGAAGGGAGAGGGATTTATTTCCACAGACTCAAGCTTTTGCTCCGCAGTCAGAAAAAAAACCCATAAAGTCCGAGCGCGCTGATCATCTCATCCCTTGCGTAGATCCCGTCCGCGGCATTGACGATCACCACCATGGTCCACCTATCCAGAGTGAAAAGGGGCAAGCAGGCCCAAAAGCCTCAACAGCAGCAAGACCAAGGCGAAAGTGCGGCGAACCCGTACGTGTATGGAACTCATTATGCCGCCGAGGAGCTGCCGGAGCATGTCATGGCCGAGCGGGAGATGCCCGCCGACGTGGCGCTCCGCTTGATCAAGGATGAATTGAGCTTGGATGGAAACCCTCTGCTCAAGTGCGCTTCTTTTCCTTCCTTGTTTGGATCTTGATCTGATGGCGTTCTAGTCTGGCGAGTTTCGTCACCACTTATATGGTAGGGTTAGATTGGTTGCGCGTGCGATTGATTCACTGTGCTAATGGTAGCAGGAAGATGAAGCGCAAAACCTCATGACCGAGGCGATGAGCAAGAACTTCATCGATTTCGAGGAATACCCCCAGACCGCACACATCCAAAACCGCTGCATTAATATGATCGCGAATTTACTGAACGCGCCCGTCACCGAAGGCAATGGGGACCAGGATTGCCTCGGGACGTCCACGATCGGATCGTCGGAAGCGATTATGCTGGCGACGCTGGCCATGAAGAAACGCTGGCAGAACAAGCGCAAGGCCGAGGGGAAAGACTGGACGCGCCCGAACATCGTCATGAACAGTGCGGTGCAGGTGTGTTGGGAAAAGGCCGCGAGGTACTTTGACGTCGAGGAGAAGTACGTCTATTGCACCGATACACGATACGTGATCGACCCGAAGGCTGCGGTGGATCTGGTGGACGAGAATACCATCGGCATCTGTGCGATCATGGGCACAACCTACACGGGAGAGTATGAAGACGTCAAGGGGATCAACGACCTGCTCAAAGCGAAGAATATCGACTGCCCGATCCACGTCGACGCAGCGAGTGGCGGCTTTGTGGCGCCGTTCGTCAGGCCGGAGCTGGAGTGGGATTTCCGCTTGGAGAAAGTCGTGTCGATTAATGTCTCGGGACACAAATATGGATTGGTAGGTTTGGCATGATACTGCGTGCTATTCTTAACTCTATGCTAACGGGTAAGGTCTACCCTGGCGTCGGTTGGGTCTTCTGGCGCTCTCCTGAATACCTCCCCGAAGAGCTCATCTTCAACGTGAACTATCTCGGCGCCAACCAGGCCACGTTTACATTGAACTTTTCCAAGGGTGCCTCCCATGTTATCGGCCAATACTACCAGCTGATCCGACTGGGCAAGCATGGATATCGATCCATCATGAACAACCTGACAAAGATATCGGACTACTTCGCAGACGAGATTAAGAACCTTGGATTCCTGATCATGAGCGAAGGCAACGGTCGCGGCCTACCCCTCGTTGCGTTTAGATTGAAGCCCGATGACGACCGCCTATATGATGAATTTGCTTTGGCTCATGTTCTTCGAGAGCGCGGATGGGTAATTCCGGCATATACCATGGCTCCACATAGCAACCAGTTGAAGATGATGCGTGTTGTCCTCCGAGAGGACTTCACCATGCATCGGTGTAATATCCTACTGGAGGACATCAAGGCCGCAGTGAAGTCATTGGAAGAGATGGACGCCGAGATGATCAAGAAATACATGCTGTATGTCCTCGACCCGACCAATGACGAGTACAGGCTAACAAGAACAGGCATCTTAAGGCGCACAGCGACAGGAAACTGCCGCAACAGCATGCACATTACAAGCACGAAAAGCACTCATTGCAGGGTAGACATGGGAAGACGCACAGTGTATGTTGAGTTTCCGTCCAGACGTTGGGCACTTTCCAAAAATGTCTCATGTCAGGACACGTTCGTTGCTATCGTTTGCTCGTAATTATATATCAGATTGGTCATATTCGCCAGTACAAACATGAATATCTCGAGAAGAGTGATGAATCGTGAATTCAAGAAACAGTAATAGTACACCCACCACTAGAACCAGCATGAAGTAGGAAGCAACATGCAAAGTACAGTATGACCTCTGGTCAAGTGAGAGTAAAGCAAACATGACATGTAATGCAAGTACGTAGCGATTTGCAACAAGAAGTACGTTGATCTGGGAACTTCATGTCCCAGTGCTCATGAATCCTAGGGCTTTTGCCACCATGCCAGAACCACGAGATCATGCAACCCTGTCGTTCAACAGTAACAGCTGGCTTAGGAATAAGAGAAGCTACTTCTCTTTCGTGGTATATATCTACATATTATGCTCATCCCCTTTTGATCGCCGAACTCAACCCACAAATTCAGTGGAGCCTGGTTGACAAATTTATCACCAAAATATGACCAGTACATATGTCGACATCGGCGTTCGCATGCTCAACGCGCATTGATCCAATCAATAGACTCGTGCCTGTCCACGTCAATGCCTATAGTCTAAAGGCTGCATATTGCGTGAACCTTAACCTCTTTGGAGAAAGTCAATTGACGTCCTGCAGCGCATTAGAGTCCCTGGTCATACAACCCCATCAAATGTCGGTAAGCCATATGCCCAGGCTTTTCATGGTGACTAGCAAGGCATATTGCTGGTGGTGCATTGGCCATGGTCCATTCGTTGCGGCTATCCCAAATCGATCGTTGTCGATGTGAACTGGTGGCGCGTTGCCGAGAATCCAAACCCCATTTTATTCCAGTCATCGACGCAGCTTATTTGTAATTGAAATTAGAATTGGGTTATACGGATATGATCGCCTCTCGTCATCGTAGAATAGTGTGTTGAAAGAGATGTCCAGCGTTAGGTCACGGGCCAAACGGGATAGCATGGTTGCTTTTCTCAGAATGCAAGAGAATCTTCGCTGAGCCCACGAAGCATCGGAAGCATCCTATGTGGGAATTGGTGGGTATCGGTCTGTGGGACTATCTGCTGGATGACATGGCACTATATAATAGTTGTAACTGCGTTTCCCTATTCGGCCAACCCCGAAGACACCATTATATGATGTATCAGGTCCGTCTCGTAAGACTCCAACCCAACAACAATAGTTTGCTTCCTAAAGCAGGAAATATAAACCTTGGTCATCAATAATAGCGTCCGTGCTCCGCCGGCTGTCACGCCCCGGATTTACGTAGCGCATTCGACGGAGTACATGAACTCCTATTTGGCGACGATCACCAAGCTGCTGCGCAAACGCCTGCGTCAACGACCCCAGAAAATATCCTCTAGGGGATTTGGCTCGGATAGTTTCCGACACTGCAGCTGATATACAATAGACCATGTGGAGTATTGGTTCTTGACCGCTCCGTCATACAACTCACTCTGTGAATACTGATAAATATCAGACTTTGATGTTCGTATACAGCTATCCCGCGAACGCTATTGATGCTTCTCGATTAGTTTGTGATATATCGGCGACAGATCATATCCCGAGAACAATCGTTACCTGTTAGGGGACGTTATAAAGATGAGCGTAGTAGCGAGCTTTTCGAATTGCTTTTATGCCTTCATTGATTTTTAATCCGGGTGTCTGCTTCCCCGACATTATTTTGTATCCGGGAGATACGGGAAAATGCAGCTGTTCTTTTTAGTAGTTTTGTTGGCCAGTGCCTGCCAGGTGCAGGCCAAGGCGGTATTTGCTCACTTTATGGTAAGCTTCTGCTGTTCCCTCCCAACTTCGAACTATAGTTCTAATGTCTTGCAGCTAGGGAATAGTGACAACTACACCAAGGCCAACTGGGAGCAAGACATCTCCGCAGCCAAGGAGGCACACATCGACGCCTTTGCGATCAACACAGGCTTTGGCCTATCGATCCATCGAATGCTGAGCGATGCATTCGCAGCTGCGGATGCACTGGACTTTAAGCTCTTCCTGTCCTTGGACTATTCCGGGGATGGACACTGGCCGCAGGACCAAGTAATAAACTACCTCAAAGATTTCACCAAGCTACCAGCCTACTTCAAAACCGACGACAACAAACCCCTTGTCTCGACTTTCGAAGGCGACCAAGCTGCTGGTGATTGGAAGAACATCAAGGATAAAGTAGACTGCTTCTTTGTTCCGGAATGGTCTGGGTTGCGTCCTGAAAAATCCTTGTCCCATAAGGAAGTCGACGGCCTGATGAGCTGGACTGCCTGGCCAAATGGCACCGACCCAATGACCACTGACACTGATCAAGAGTATATGGACGCTCTCAAGGGGAAGCCGTATATTATGCCTGTCTCGCCATGGTTCTACACCAACCTGGTGAGGTTCCACAAGAACTGGGTGTGGCAGGGTGACGATCTCTGGTACACACGCTGGCAGCAGGTGCTCGAGCTCCAACCAGAGTATGTGGAGATTCTCACCTGGAATGACTATGGCGAGTCGCACTACATTGGACCGATCCATCAGAGCGGCCTCGCGGTCTTCGACTACGGGCAGGCGCCCTTCGACTATGCTAAGGGGATGCCCCATGACGGGTGGCGAAGCTTCCTGCCATACATCATCGACCTGTACAAGAATGGAGGAAAGGATGCCGAGATAGAAGACGAAGGCCTTGTCAGTTGGTACCGAGTCAACCCCGCGTCAGCATGTTCCTCGGGTAAGACGACGGGAAACACAGTTACGCAAGCGCAACAGACGCTGGAACCGCAAGAGGTGCTGCAGGACAAGGTTTTCTTTTCCGCCCTGTTGGAGTCCTCTGCCGACATTTCTGTCACTATTGACGGGAAAAGTCGAGCGGCCAGCTGGACCCATACCCCGGACGGAGGGAAGGGGATTTACCACGGCAGCATCCCCATCAATAACCAGACTGGGGCTGTTGCCGTGACCCTGACTCGCGATAATCAGTTATTAGCCGAGATTGATGGCCATCCTATCACGTCGGACTGTGTCAAAAATATGACCAACTGGAACGCTTGGGTAGGAAATGCCACCTCGACGGCGCCCAAACCTTCTTCGCCGTCGGGGTCGTCAAAGCACGAATCCTCGTCTACTCGACTAATCCTGTCGGGGCTTGTCCCTCTTGCTGTGGCCTGGACTCTTTGCTTTGTTCTAATATAACGCCGGTGACGACGCGGCGTGATTCATGAGATTCGTGATATCGTTGACAACGCTCTAGGAATGGGCTTTTGGGGGGAAAAAGTACTGGGATACCCAACGTATGGTCTAGGCCTAAGACAAACATAATGGATAATATTTAATTTTCACTCGAATGGAGTCGGCCAATCTCACTTGGACGCATTCTGCTGTCTAGACTATAATCAGTAGACAGAAGCGACCCAGGATGCGGGCCGTCAAGGGTCTACCCACTTGGCGAGGAGGCCCCAGGCAAGTCAAGACTTTCTGCAATGATTGGAGAATGGTTTGCCATTGTGGGACAACGGCACATTCTTATTTGGGAAGGGTCTGCCTCCACAGGCTCCACAGACCCATACTTTGATCTTTCAGACCCCGACGGCGTGCACGGTCGTTCACAGTCCAGAGCGCAATCTCCTCTATAGAGGAATCACACCGTAGTATCCCATCCTATGAACTTGATTTGGTTAGAGATGTCGCCTATTGGGTATCGCTTGATCAATGGTCAATGCTCTATGGTCGAGGTTCACAGCGACGCATCTGTGCTACACATCAATCGAGTCTCTTGCGGCTTCAACAGGAGTTGGACATTAGGTCCGTTCGTACACGGGGTTGGTGGAAAAATTCTCTGAAAAGAAATTGGTTGGCACGGTTGGGCTATTGGCGAAAGCGAAGGCGATAACCACCCAGACAATGCTCTCTATCAGTGCAAATAACCTTTCTGTGGCAGCTGTTAAAGGATAGCCGAATCTACCAATCGCAAACTGTAAGCAAGAGCCAAGAAGATTTGCCGAAGAGTAGTGGAGAAATGGAGAAGTTACTTGAATAATGTCAATATCAGAAAAGCCCTGCTGGGGGTTCCCCGATGCTGTCTACTTCCTCATCAGGAAGCTGCCCAACTCACACGAGGCATGCAAGATCTGGATGAGGTAAAGTATATCCACTGGCTATGAGGGGTGGCAGCAGAGTGGCCTGTAGCGAGTGGGTGACGAGGCCAAGTCTATGACACCACAACCAGCGTTCCGTTCGCCACACTGGCGGCCAAGTCCGCTGGCCTGCAAACCCAGGCCAATCTGGGGAAATCTGTCGAACTGAGAAAGCTCGAATTAAGTTTCGTGGCTAAAATCCAGCCCTAATTTGACTTGGGAGAATCCTCGGAGCCAGTAACCATTGGTGGCGATGGCCTGGAACGCTCGAAGTCTTGCCATGGACGGGGCAGGGAAGTCTGAGCCTGATATCAAAGTTTATTCATTGACTTTTGACATTTGCAGCCATGAATCCTTCTATAAATCCCCTGGCCGTGCCCCTGGTCCTCAGGGGAAAAACGGAAATATCAACCTTCGTTATTCTCATAGACAAAGTAGAGTTAACTTTGTATATTACTGCGCATACCCAAGTGTCAGTATGTCTGGGTCTCTCGAAACCCTCGCCAAACCCTCCGCCTTCTTCGTGCGCCATGTCCGCACAAACGCGATCTCTCGTATTCCTCCTATCGCTCGTCGATCGGCCTCACCCCTCCCCTGTCGCATGGCAGTGTTATCGCGGGACAAGCTTGAAAGAGAAGCCGCAGCCAAGAGCCCCGACTTGCGTCGTTGCTTAGGCCACCAACGACTTCTCCGCCGCTCAATAGAAGCTGCACAAGAGGATGCACGGAAGGCCATGGCATCATTCCAGCTAGAAGAAAGTGACGACGAGGACGAGATCTTTGGAGACGACGAAGACGCTCCTCCCAGCCCTATGATCCGAGAGCAGATCACCAAGGCTGTCAAAGCAATGATCAAGCGTCGTGCAGCCAGTCAAGTTCAAGAGACCGACAATACCAATACGGCGCCGCATCTGGTGCGCGTCAGCTCGAAGAACGATAGCAGCCGTGACTTGTCAGCGCGACAACCCAATGCCTTCTACAAAACGCCATCAGTCACAACGAAACGTCGCAAACCTACCTCCAAGTTTGCCTTTACCCGACTGCTGTGGTCGTCATCCAACCAACCCGTGCAGGCAATGGCTAGCTGACAGGGCCTTTGTTGCATAACGCAAACATTCGTCAATCTTACGACCTCCTCATGATACCTCTGCATTTACAACGGCGATCACAAGCCATCCTTACGACCATAGACGTCCTTCTTCTCCTGTTTGCCCAAGTTCTAGCACGTGCATGTCTATCAACTAGACGCTGAACATAATCGGTTCGATTATGCTTCAACTGTGATCACACATTACGATTTCACGAAGCGAATTGTGTCACGCCCACTTTCATTTCTATGTATATACCTAAGCATATTTCCTTTCTCGCGGTTCATGTATAATTATCTTGGTGTTGAAGCTGGACTACAGCCTTGAAATATATACTATGAGCCAAAATATCTCTTCCAACACTACTGAACTAAGCTTTGTGGCCTGCTTTTCTGTTCCGTAGCATTGTAGAGAAGCAACAAAAGAGAAGTACTGAAATGGTGAGAGAAACGACAGAATGCTTATTGCAAGCACTTGAAACTTTCCGCACGGACTACTCAAGATATCCACAGATATCCACTGTGGAGAACCAATCCCCACGCTATAACATATACCATATCTAAGTCTCAGTACTCTCTCGCGAAGCGGGGTTCTTGGGATCGGATCAAATCCCGACTCGCGAATATTGGTACATACAAATCGCTCCGAAATCGGCGGAGCGTCAAGGACAGAGCACAACTGAGAGGTTTCCTTACGTAGGACGGTCATGAGAGTGGCTCCGATAATAGGCTAAGTAGAGCGAACTGATAGGCTTTTGTACTCAAATCGACTTTTTAGCTAAAGCTAATGCGGAGGATTGTTCGTAGCACCATTTACCGTCTGCCGCGATGGAGGGTGATTGAGATCAAGCTTTCCTAGGGCCGGGCCAGAACTTATGGGTAGTATATAACTCGATCTCACCGTTTAGACAGCTGGTTGGGGACTAATTTACGGTGACGAGTACAAGGAACTGGCTCACCCAACGCCTTGTACCCTACTAGTCTTCGTCAAGGACAAACTCGATGCTGGCCTAGACCGGGAGCTCTTCCAGTGGCCGTGCATGAAAATCGCGCATGACAGATATCGGGTGCTCGCAGACCCCTTGGAAGGAAAGGATTCAGCCAGTGACCTGTCCCCTGTTCTTATATTTCCAGCCCATCTCCCCGTCCTTTCTTCTTATCAGAGAATGAGCAGTCATTTAAGCGAATTAATTAGTTGTGTCTTTATCGTTTCCATCGTATTGCCCTGTGTATAAGGGATAATCGACTTGTTAGGAAGTCCGCCCATGGAGACGTTCAGTGATCCCTTGGTCCGCTAGTGTATCAAAGACCCATTTCTTTGACCTCTTCGACCCCCTGTGCCGCGGGACCTTCTTGAAGTAGCTAATTTCAGTGGGTTTTACCGAAGAACCACGGGATGTCTTCCTCTGCGTTCCTATTATAGGGACGATCTGACCAGTTATGTCTCTTTTCGGAACATTACGTGTGAGATGACCGAGTGCTTTAAAGCCCATCGTAACGAGGCGGCACCTCATAGCGTTGGAATCATCAGGCATGTAGATGCCTATCGGGTGTTGTAAAGGGTTTTCGGTTCAGTTAGAACGTAAGAAAGGGTGCCTGGGCTGTCATAGGGGACTCACAGCTGTTAGATTTCCGAGTCCCATAGTCAAGTACGAGTATTCGAGCCCTTCCTGAATCATTACGTGGGATTCCTGTACAGTCATCGATCCGCTAAGCCGCATCGCATTGTATACTAATTTCACTGGGCCATCAGGAGGAATGGTGTCGGGTTCGAGGATTTCACGATAGAGGTTGATCGTTCGAAGCCCGACCCGGAGGCCTTCAACTGATAGTTTATAGGGAGGTTTGTATTCAACTGCGGCGAGCAAGATTTTAGTATTGCTGTTGACTCGATAGATACAGAACTGGTCGGGTCGGGAAGGACGCGTGCTTGGTAAGATCATGATTTTCATGCAGCCCTTCAGGACTGGATATATTCAGCTTCAATGGCCACTACATGGTAACCCATCGTATTTCCCACAGAATCTAAAATTGTGTTAACTTGTCTCGCTGCGAGGTATCATGACACCGAGTTAGAGTTTATCGAGACTATCTACGATTAGCCCAGTACTATTTCCTCCTGTTCTTGGGGAAGTTGCCAATGAAGTTGCACGTTTGTAGGGTCATCCGATTGTGAAACTTACATTTGGTCCAGGCTCCCATAACCTGCGCCAAATTCTTTGCCGTGGGGACATGTAGTCGCAATGTCATTTCATTTGCACAACCCATTCTAGCTTTGGTGTTGTCTGTGCAGGCATGGCACCGCGAATGCAGCCGATCCAAGAAACTGTCTTAGATTCCGAGGGGCTTCCAGCCCGTCTTGTGTGGCTCGAAAGACCGAGCCCACTCAATCAAGGATCACTGCTCAAGACGTGTGGAGCGTAATACTCTACTACGCCGAGAATACCATATAAGCAACCCTCGAAGCTTTAGTTTAGTTGTAGTATGTTGAACTATTTCTATTCTTATATTATGCAATTCAAGCAATTCAAGCAGTCCAAGTAGTTCAATCTAGGAATACAGTATAGAAGTAAGATTCATACATAGGCAGAGAAATTAGAGGACAGCGTAGTATACAAAATCTAATATATATCTTGCGGTACTTGCCCTTTTTTCTATGCACTTTCTTAGCTCTTAAATGGCGTTGCACTGGTGTTCAGGACCTATCTGCCCTCCAACTGTGATGGGCCAGCCCGCTCGTGTTTGTATACGGAGGTATGTTGTATAATATGGTACCAACCAGTGGGTCAATCGGTGACAAAGACGGCAACCAAGCAACGAAAAGATATCGACACTTGGCTCGACCGAGTTCAAATGCACCAAAACTGGAACCCAACATCATCCGCTATCCCCTCTCCGAGACTAATTCTGTTGACAAATGATGGCTCCCTGGTTAAAAGGAAGATCTGGATCGCTGGCATCATGGCCACAGGTGTGTGTGACCTCCTATTATGCGGTTTATCTATCAGGATGTTTGAATGTTAAAAATCGGAAGAACCTTACTGCGTCATCGGATACTCTAAGCGATAGACAGCATGTCTCATTTGGTTCAACGGTCCACTTATAAGAAAAATGAGTGGCGCTCAAGGCAAAACAGCCACTAATAAAAAGGTCAGTGAATATGCAACTTCATACAAAACTAGCAAGTATCATTCCTACTTGGTAGACTGCAAAAATAATGCTGTTAGTATGAGATTGATTTGTAGATAACTCCAGTTTTCTTCCACTAACATAATCTGATTGTTGTCCTTGGAAATCTTGGTTCGGCCAGACACTAAGCGTCGCTGCAGACACATTCGTGATCAAAAGTGCAATAGTAGGAAGCTTCATTGTAAAACTGTCAACTGAGAGAGGTACAGAGAGCTCAATTTTGAGAATATAAATCTTTAAAGAGTTTTGAGAGGGCCTTGCAGCTCAAAGATCAGGCTGACTCTTTATATTTCCCCAGTAACTAGTGTAATAGCCTAATTGTATCATCCCACATCATTAGATCACAGCACAGTCTCTGCTCGCGAGAGTGTATGAAGGAAGGGATAGTTACACAACATCACCAGATGGAAAAACAATGCAAGCCTCAAGATTTAATAACCCACGATTGACTGCCTTCCTTTCTATTTCGTACATGTTGAGCTATGTACGAAACTCCGTAGAGAAAAGAGTTGGGGATGTGTCAATGTTTTGGCTATATTCTGTCCGCAGGCGACCGCGGATCAGTACGGCTAAACTTAGATCAGGAATGTTAATTGCCGAGCTACCGCATGTACTATTAGGAGGAATATGGAGACCAAAGTTCAATAGTGTGATCTTCGGCGCAGAATACACTGCCAACCTAGTTTTTCAAGCACCACATCACCTTTGTGTTCTCAAAATGCAGTACATAGTATCGTTCTGGGGAAGTTCTATTTAGCGGAGATAGAGGGAGTCACATTCTCCGCAAGACTAGGCAACGTCTTCGCTATGTCTAGTGAAGTACTGTGGATGGTACTGCCCGGAATTGTCCGAGAAGCTCAGTCTGCCGGGGGTCCTTAGTCCTCAGGAAAGCCACTCACTACACCGAGAACTGCAACCACTCCTGCGAGAGTTCGTCATCCTACAGGAGCCCGCAAATCCTGCTGGAGTCTCTACCCCTGCAGGACTAGTAGAGTCCTTGTACTGCCAGAGTCCTCCAATATACAAAACAGCTATTAGAGCTATCAGTTGGTCGCAACGACCCAGAGCAAGAGGAGGCAGTTCTGGCAGGAACAGCTTAAATATCTGGAAGTGAGGAATGCATCAACCCGTATTTATATTTGTATGTTACATAGCTACCAGGGCGGCTGGGAGAGACTATGAATCAACAATCGACCAAAGCTTGTTGCTAGGAGCCGTCAGTATGTTTCTAAGAGGACTAGTCATAGATCCTGGAATCTACATCGTCAATCCTGGCGTCACGTAGAGGTAGGGCTATGAATGGACAATTGATATCTGATATCTGGTATAAGTAATTATTTCACCCGAGCTCTTTCTATTCCTCCTCGATATTTTTGAGTACGATTTGAGAGTAAAAGGTCCCGAATGACCAATTTCGGAAAGCCTTGGTACCCCTCCCACCGTCTTCTGGATCCAAACAACTCTGTGCATTTCACAGTATGTGATCCATCGACAATGTTCCGATATGAGCTCCTTTGGAGGATAGCTTCCCCCCCGCAGTCCACCGCCAAATCTTTTAGATAATTCCTTCATCGTAATGTTCATCGGCCTAGGATATGTCATGCTCTGTCATGTGTCAGAAACACGAAACAGGGACGATGGAAGGGCGAATATGAACGATTGGGAATTGCATCAACGCATACCAAGCTTCCTGCTGACGGGGGCCAGTCTGGGGTCTTTGACGCAAGCGTATATATCAATCCACTTGTTCTCATGCGTAGAACCAAATAAACATCTGCTTCACACTCTTGGGAGTACTCGAAAGTTTTCTTACACAGCGTGTCTCGTCTCCTTATGATTTTCTGACTGTCCCTTCTGGATATTGATGTATTTAAAAGAGTACCTGCCCGATTTCAAGAACAGGGCGTTACGCATGCTTGAGTGTCCATAGTGAACTGAGGTTGACCCATTTCCTCTTTCTCCGGAAGCCT